CCCTGAGAACCAAGTTGGTCGAGAGCAACAGTAACAAGGTCGTCATCATCCGAGATCTTAATCTAGCAGAAGAGAAAAGAGAACAAGCGGCTATAAGAATGACTGATTATCGACATCAGATGTCTCAAGCTTATAACAAGAAAGTTAACCCTCGGTCTTTCTCACTTGGAGACCTAGTCCTTAGACGTATACTGGGATCAGCTAAGAACTCAACCCATGAAAAGCTTGAAGCAAACTGGGAAGGTCCATACATAATAGCCCGAGTAGGGGGCAGCGGGTACTATGATCTTGAGACCATGGACTGAAGGGCAGTACCACGCCCTGGAACATTGCTAACCTTAGAAATTTTTATTTTTAAAAAGTACATTTTTAAATAGAACCCTCTGAAGTACCTTCAGAAACTTAAAGGTGCCCCTTAAGAGATGATAAGTGATCAGAAAATGTACCGAACTGAATTTATTAATAAAATTTTTCTAAGATTCTTGCTTCACATTATATACATCCTACAGTTAAGGTAGGGAGGCAAAAAATCCTGATAGAAGTTGTATCTTAAATCTGGTGTAGCCACCCGATCTAATTCAGGCCCTCAGTTAGGCATGACGATGTAAGCTGGCTAGGGATGTATTTGAGTCCAATCAGATTGGTGGGTCGGTGCGGAGTAGAAAACTCTCTTAGATACCCAATGGGACTAAGAGTAACTTTACTGTGGGACCGAGCACTTGGAAGAAAGGCAGAGCAGGGCCATAACTTTAGGAGCCATCAAATTTTTCTAAGTATAAAAGGTCCTATTGAGGGACCGAGCTCTTTGAAGAAAGGTTGAGTAGGGCCATAACTCAAGAGCTATCAATTTTCTAAGTATAAAAGGTCTCTATTGAGGGATCGAGCTCTTTGAAGAAAAGCCAAGTAGGGTCATAACTCAAGAGCTATCAAAAATTTTCTAAGTGTAAAAAATCCCTATGGGGGACCAAGCTCTTTGAAGAAAGGCCGAGTAGGGCCATAACTCAAGAGCTATCAAAATTTTCTAAGTATAAAAGGTCTCTATTGAGGGACCAAGCTCTTTAAAGATAGGCTGAGCAGGGCCATAACTTCAGGAGCCATCAAATTTTTCTAAGTATAAGAGGTCTCTATTGAGTGACCGCGCTCTTTAAAGAAAGACTGGGTAGGGCCATAACTCAAGAGCTATCAATTTTCTAAGTATAAAAGGTCCCTATTGAGAGATTGAGCTTTTTGAAGAAAGGGCGAGCAGGGTCATAACTCAAGAGCTATCAAAATTTTTCTAAGTGTAAAAGATCCATATTGAGGGATTGAGTTCTTTGAAGAAAGGCCGAGCAAGGCCATAACTCAAGAGCTATCAAAATTTTCTAAGTATAAAAGGTCTTTATCGAGGGACCGAGCTCTTTGAAGATAGGTCGAGCAGGGTCATAACTTCAAGAGCCATCAAATATTTTTAAGTATAAGAGGTCCCTATTGAGGGACCGAGCTCATTCAAGAAGGGCCAAGCAAAGGCCCTAACTTCAATAACTATCTAAATTTTTTCTAAGAATACACGGTTCCTATTAAGAGACCGAACCTATGAGAAAGGGCTGAATAAAAAGACTTAGACTTCAAAAGTCATGTTTTTTCAAGCATACAGTGAAGTATAGAAACAGAAAGGCCAAAATGTGTTTTGCATTCATGCTTCAAATTTTTTTTTTTAAAGATCATTGAACGTTTACATCAGAAGTTGCAAAAAGGAAAATCTCTTAGGTATCTCAGGAGGCTGGAGGCTGTGAAGAACTTGGAAGAGAGTGCCTTGAAAAGAGCTCAGAAGAAGTTGGAACCCCTGTAGCAGTTAGAGCAGCACGTCAGCCCTTACTGAAATACACTTCTCGGAGTTGGGGGATCTGCAAGGCAAGGTCATTTTCTGTCTTCTCGATTCCTTCATCATAAGTAGCATCTTCTTTCTCTTTTGCTTCAGACTTATACTGATCAAATTCCTCAAGGAGAGTGGAATAGTCAATTTGGGATTGAGAAAGCTCTACAATGGCTTCATGCTCAGACTCCTTCAAATTTTCAACCTCTAAAGAAAGCTTCTGGTTCTCCTCGGTCAGGCTTTGATTTTGAGCCTGTAGAACCTTAAATTCTTCGCAGAGTTTAACATACTCTTCATCCACACTCTCTTTTTTGGCCAGGGCTGAAGTTTGGGCATGAATAGCAACCTTCATAGCCTTGTCTTTTTGAGCTATTCTTGCCTCGACCTCATGGACTTTTTGTAGATCCTTGATTGAAAAGAGATTTACTTAGAAAAAAAATTTTAGAGGAAAAATGGGAGAAGCTGAAAAGAGCAATTCTTACCAGGACCATGTGTTGGATGACTTGACAAGACACTTCATCATCTGTAAGAGTCTCGTTCATAGCCAGGTCCCGAGGCAGGATCACTCCCCTAGCAATCCTCACTGCTACATTAAAGTCTTCAATTACAGAATCTTTGGAAGTGATTTCTCTCCTTTTTGCCCTGAGGATAGGTCAAAAATGAGGGTTGACTTGTGTTAGAGAAGGGCTCGCCTCAGACTCGGCTATCCTTCGCCTTTTTGGGGCTAGGTCCTTAGTAAGCTCAAAAATTGAGTCGTCTTGAGCAATGGGAGAATGAACAGAATCAGGGGGATTTAACTCTACTGGAAATGAAATTTCAATAAGCTGAACCTTATCTTCCTGGTCACTGCTTGATACTTCTGCATCATTCAGAAGAACTGGCTAGACAAAAACCTTGGCAGCAGGCTCGTCTAAAATAGCAATTGAAGGAACGGAAGTAGATGGAAGAGGCTCAATAGACAGGGTCGACTCAACAGTTGATAAAAGGTCCAAAAAATTCTTCATCGTTCTACGTTCGGGGGCTGCAAGGGAAGAGTTTTTCTTAGCTCGGGGAGTCTGTTCCCGAGCAGCCTGGATTGCCTCACGGTCTACTACTAAAGTGGTGTTGGGTCTGTTCGGTACGACAATGAAGGAAGTATAAGTTGGAGTGTATCTGAGTAGTGTCTGGGCAGCTTGGCAGAACAGGGACTCATTGAAATCCCAAACTCTCTTAAGCTCATCAATCTTCACAGAAGATTCGAGAACTCTACCCTTTACAGTCTCTCCTTCACGTAGAAGTCTTGAATCATAAAACAAAAAAGAAAAAAGAGAACCAATTTGGAAGAGTAAAAAACTTAAATACCTGGAACACCTTCTTCATAAGGACAGCGATAAGAAGAAGTAGCATCTGCAGCATACTCCCAGTTACCTGAGACAAAAACCACATCATTCTCATGACCCTTGTTCGAGTTTGGAAGATGGGTTACTAGATATCTTTCCTTCTTCCTCACCGCAAGGTATTAATTATCTCCAACAGCTTTGATAATGTAACAGTATAGAATCTCCCATAAGTCAAGGCTTAAGCCCAGAAGCTTGTTCAAAACAGATACCCCCATTACTATCTTGAAGAAGTTTGGACAATATTGGAAGGGGCACAACTTTGCAGCAAAAAGAACCCAGATAAGAAGAGGGTCAAGAGGGAATCGTACTCCACCCTTAGTAATGGCACAAGTTGGAATGAGAATCCTCTCCCTTGTGCCAATCAGCGACTCATCTTTCCCAGCGACCGTTACTTTGATATCGTCTAGAATATTATATTTTGCTTTGAAAGTTGGAATCTCAGTAGGAGTAAGGGGAGCCATTTGAGAAGATGAGGCGCAAAAGAAAAAAGATATAGAGGAAGAAAAGGGTTTGAAAGCAAGAAGATGAAGTAAAAAGAAATACGAAGAGAAATCGTTTATGAATTAAAAAAGAAGAGAGGAATTATAAAAGGTAATATTTAAATGCCCAAAACATGCCACCAAAACAAGGGGGTGTCACAAGATACGCGCAATGATGAGGAAGAGGAAAAAAATGACTGACAGACGAAAGGCGTCTATAAGACGTTTTCTGGGTGCAAATGAAGGGGTTGGCTCCTATCACTACACGTGTTGCGGCATTTAATGTGCTCACATGAGATTGATAAGACAAGACACGTGACGAGGACATCAACTACTTAGTCAAATGGGCCTAGTCGAACTGACCAATGTGTTCGGCAAAGTAACGAAAGAGCTCAATTTTTATTAAACCAAGCATATCAATGTGTTCGGTAAGCATCAAAAGTGCTCCGCTCTCATTATGACTGAGCTGTTTGAAACAGAAGATAAAAAGATAAAGATAAGCCTTTAACTTAGGCATTTTGAATGAACGAATCAATGAAATTGTAGACGTTAGGACGAATTGTTGGAAAAATATTAGCAACTTTTTAAACTGAATCGCTGAATTAAAGGAAGATGTGTCACCTTGAATCAAAAATCATGGAAACTCTAAGAGGATGACTATCTATAAAAAAACAGAGGAAACTAAGGTGCAAGGTATGCTGAACTCTCTTTGTCTTCCAACAATTATTTTTATTCCATTACTGACTTAAGCATCAGAGTGCCTTCGATCAAAGCAATTCGATCTTGGGAAGTTTATTCATTTTACAGAACAAGAAGACTGAGAGATCAAGTTCAGAAAGATCCTTTATTAGAAATATCAAATTCAATCTTTAGTGGGAGGTATCATCTTTTTTTATCTCTTACATAAAGAATGCACAAAAAATTAAGTGGTTCACGTAGTTAAAGAGCTGGTTAATCCACTATAATGAAAGCTTTTGGTCCTTGGCATTATATTTCTTGAGCAAGAAGATGAGTAAAGTTGAATTTTTTGCTTCAGGTGACCTATTCGGGGCCCCTTTTTACATAGTGATCATTTTTTTTTATAACAGATTTATCAGAGAATATTTGGGGAATAGTCAAAAAATATTTGGTGTGATGTGTCCTTCTAGAAGTGGTGACTTATTGTCCAAGATAGGATTTGATGAAAAAAGTCTTTTTATGTCATTTTTGGTAGTTTCTATGTTGTTTGTCGTCTTCTGGAATCTCATTGTTGACCCGTATATATTTTTTGGTATCATCAGTTGCCTCTAGTCTCGAGCAAGGACTAACTTGGGGTGGCCATTGGTTGGGACTCAGCTTTTTAGATCATGTCTAAGGAAGAGGCCAATTCTTGAAAAGACTAAAACTAAGGAGGAGGTTGTTCTGTTGTGGTCAAAGTTGGTGGCGGCCATGAAGAGGTGCTTGAACCTGGAGATCGATCTATGTATCAAGGCAACTGATGTTTTGAACTGGAAAATTTGAAAAAAGTCTGAATTTTACTCTCTCTCCCAGATTGTGGAGCATGACTAAGCTCATTAGCTTTTGAGGTTGAGAAGTCGAGTCTGGCCGAGCTCATTAACTTTTAGGTTGAGGAGCCTGAATTCATCACAAATAGTTCAAGGTTGATGAGCTTGAGAAGTTTAGGAAATGTTGAGTATCTCATATTCGTTGTTGAAGCTGAGCAGCCTAAACTTAGTGCTTTTGAGTGAGTTTTGGTTTTATTATGAGACTGATAAGTCTGATATAACAATGCTAAGATACTGCAGAGCCTGTTTATATCTAAGCTAAGGAACTACGTAAGGCTAAAGAACGGAGTTGGGATTAAGAACTTGGTAAGGCTGAAGAGCCTGAGACTAAGGCTAAAGAGACAGAGCATACCTAGGCTAAAGAGCCTGGTCTTGTTGAGGTTAAAGAGCCTAAGGCTAAAGTAAGAGTCAGGTCATACCTAAGATGAAGAGTATAATCTTGTTGAGGCTGAAGAGTTTGGTCTTGCTGAGGCTGAAGAACCAGGTCTTGCCGAAGCTGAAGAGCCTAACAATGTTGAGGCTGAAGAGTCTGGTCTTACCGATGCTGAAGAGCCTAACAATGTTGAGGTTGAAGAACCTATTCTTACCGATGTTGAAATCTTACTAAGACTGAGGCTAAGACAGAAGAGCATAGTCTTGTTGAGGCTGAAGAGCCTAAGGCTAAGGCTAAAGAGCCAAGATGACCATCTTAGAAGCCTCTACATTCAAATAGACTGTTGCAGTGCTTGAAGAGGTCAAGCATTGCTAGTGGGCACATTTCTTGAAAATGGCTTCGGACAAAGACATGAGATGCTCGATCCATTTCCTAAGTTCATAGTTTTGAGAACTGTGATTTTAAATATCAAGATGAACAGACACAGTTGAACTGGGCAAACTAACCAAGATAGAGTCAACCCCTCGATCTTTGACCTTTTTTGAGACATTAAGCACAACTGCTTTGCTTGGGGGTGATTATGCTAGCCAATGTCATGGTCTGGACAGTCTCTAATTCGCTAGCTGATCACCTCTAAGTATGGATTGGGTAGATCAGTGCACACCCATGAAAAAGTTGGTGTTGTAGCCTTCTCTACAAGAAAGAGGTTTAAACCTTCCAAGGTAGGAGATCTCGTATACATGACAAAATTCGTTGTGAATACTGGTGACATTCAGTTAATGTGGATTCTTGTGGGCTAAATTACAATTATATGAAATTATTAAAGGGTTAATTAAATTAATCTTTCATAGATATGATGTATGTGTGCATGTATAGGGGATGTGAACCTAATTAGTGATGTATTTGTGAAACCCATTTATAGGAATTTTATGTGTGAAAATACTAGCGGGTCGATTTCGAAATCATTTAAAAACTTAGGGAGAGGCAAGCGTCACTAACCCATTATATGCAAACCTTTACATGTATTGGCTTAGAAAAAAAAAAAGAAAGAAAAATGTGTCGTGTATGTGTGTGAGTGTGTGCTGTGTGTGTGTGTGTTTAAAGGTGAGGTGTGTGTGTGTTAAATAAATATAAAAAGGATGTGTGTGTGTGTGTGTGTGTGTTTAACATGGAAAACAAAGTGTGTGTGTGTCTGATGGAGTACTAAGCCGAGAGAGTGAGCTGAGCAAGAGAGAAAGGGGAAAAAAGAAAGAGAAAAAGAAAGGAAGAAAGGAAAAAAAAAATATTCGTGTGTGTCCACTTGAATCGTGAGCAAGGAAGGTATATGACTTTAAGTTTTGAGTTGCGATTAATTTTAGTATGCACGTATTTGTCTATGTGTGAGCTGTTATAATATGTTTTAATTAGTAGGTTGTTTTAATTTAAATACATGAGCTGTCTTATTTTATTTTAATTCAAATTTCATGGAATATTTTGGTTAATTTTAATGGGCTGTTTAGTGTAATTTCAAAACATATTTTTAGAGTTTAATTAAGTGTATTTAGTATACTTAAGGGGCTTTTAACTAATGCTTGTAAATGGGTGTTCAACCCGAGTATGAGAAAGAAGAAAAAAATGTGAAAAAATAAATATCGGAAAGCACTTAGCGAGCTAGGTTGGAAACAAAAATTATGGGAATGCAATGGGTGGTTTAAAGGCTCAATTAGGGGTTATTTTGCATTGATTAAATGTGTATGTGAATTTAAGTATAACAATTTTAAATAAAAAGTGCGATAGAAATTGGAAAAGGATGACGGTAACGCCGAAACCCTAATTTCTAAATGTTATTATCACATGTGCGAATTTTAATCCAAATGACCTGAAATTTTGCATGTAGTATTTTTAAATAATGCTTGATGTGATAATGTGACTTTTGAATGCAAATGAGTATAATATTCGGTGTGAAATAAATGAAATGTCGGAAGTGCAGTTTTTAGAATTCAGGGTCAAAATGTGTTGAAATGGATCCCCGGTCAATGTGTTTGACCTACTTAATCCTAATTGTGATTAATATGAGTGATTTTGGGAATTAGGGGAGGAAATATGATCCCTAAAACAAAAGTGGTAATGTGTAAGCAGAGAGTGCGGTAACCGGGGTTACCGAGGCACTTTGAGTGCATCATTTGCATGCATTAGTGCATTATTAACTATTAAATGTGATAAACATATTAATATTGTAATTACACATGTGTTAGGTGGAACGGGTGATACATTCGGTGTCAGAACAGATACGGTAACACCGAAAGGATCCACTAATAGAACCGAAGAGTTGTAAATCTGTATATTAGAGGTGAATGTATATCTTTATATGTTTTGAAAATAATATTATAATATGATAGATAGTTAATAACATTTCTCTAGGATTATGTGCTATGTACTTATGTGATTCGATGATATTTTATATTGTGTATTGTGTATTGTGGAATGTGGTGCACTGTTTCAGACAGGGGCGTCGATGCCTGATCACTGGACGTGCAATGATGTGTTAGCACTGTGGTGTTCCCGAGAGGTTCGGGAGACACGGATCTATGTGGGATCGATTACTCAATGAAGGGTAGTGCGGATGTGATGTGACTTGTGAATTTTTTGGAATTGGATTGATGTTGTTGTTTGATACGTGTATCTACGTAGTATTTATTTACTTCAGTGTATTACTATCATTTTCATTCCATATATTGCATGTATACTCACTGAGCGCGTGGTTTAGCTCACACCCCTACAATTTTTTCTTTCAGGTACTATAGAGGAGAATGCAGACCGATCCACTGTCCAGTTGATTGAGTCTTATGCAACGTTAGTGTGATATCACTCAAGTTGAGTGTCGGTATGACTAACCGTTGGGTTGTGTATTATATTTGTGAGAGATTATTATAGCGGGTTATTAGTATATATTTGTAAATAGACTCAACAAGCATACTTTATGATGTATGCTATGTGGTTGTGGAATTTTGTATATGTCTATAACCTAGAAAATAAATGATTGGTACATGTGTTTATATATAATATAGGTTATTAGACAGGTTTTACTATCATGCTTAATAACTAAGGTGATGAGTATTGTTGTTGCACCTGTAGAATTATATCATGTTTGATTAGTCCAACTTATAATAATTGTTCACAGGTGTATGAAAAACCTAGTCGCATCTCATCCTTAAGAGACAATGATGGGATGTGACAGATGGGGCTATCCTCTTGTAATAAGCTAGATTGATTTTGTGAGTTTCACAACAATGGTGTTGAATATAGCAACATTTAGAAGGCATTGTATGGTTTGTACCCACCGACCGACTTAAGAATGATGGCATAGATCTCCTATTTCTTGAGACCCAACCATCCTCAAAGTGCTGAGCATGTTTGCTTGACAAATGTCACATAGGTGTGATAGAACAAACTGAAGCTTTGAGTTTCGAAGTTTTTTATAGATACCCGAATGGATCCACCCCGTTGATGTCATCTTTTGAAGGTGGTTGAGAGCAGGGGTAACTCACTTGCCATTGTGTTAGCACTTCAGATTGTATTGGAAAATCAAAAGGCATCACAATAATACGACTAGTGCTTACGAGCTCTAGTCGTTTGTTGACGATTCAGAGATGACCTTACGACCTTTTTGTGGTTGATCGAGGAAGGCTAAATGAGTTTTGTTTGACTTGAGTGACGTTGGTTGAACCCCACGACAGCTTGGGTTGTCTAGAAACGGAGTCATTAGGGGCCATGCACCCTACTTTCCTACACAAACTTTATATTTTTTTTTATTTTAATTATAGAGCCAAAATGGCCCAGATGTGCTGCTTCATGACGTCTCTTGTCATAAAGTTTGTCGCACCAAAGTCGTAGGGCCTTTTGTCAACGATGGCACTGAGCCCATCTGAAGTTTTGTTGATGGTGAACCGATCACCAATCCATCGTATTTGAGTTTGCAGACCTCCCTCAGGTTGCATCAACCTTGGTGAAGCATGAGCCCACCTCAGTCGTTGAGGTTGTCTATTAACAAACGAGTTGAGACTGCTATTGTGTATGTTGAACAAGCTCTTGACTCTCCTTAATGATGCTGAACAATTTGCTGGTTGATGCTAAGCGCCCTCTTTCCTTTAGAGCAATCTCCGCCATTCAATAGACATCCAAAGAGAGCAACCAAATGCTTGTTTTTTGTTCAATTGATTGGCACAACTGTTTCTTTATTCGACAAACTCCAAGCGTGAGATATAATGATGGAGCTCGGGCTCCATACCCATGCTATAATGAATTGGCACATGCTCAGCTTCGTAGGCTCGAGCACCAATGAAGGACCGACCTCCCTCTTAGTTACCCTAACTAAATTTATGGTGATATATTGAACCATTACTGGGTGATAGACCGATCAAGTATCTAGGTTTCTTTAAATCTAAGAACTTGAGCAAATTGTCACACGTCAGATGTGTTTTAACCTTCATGCCCCAGTAAACAACAGTCTATGATTGCGCCAACAACTGTTAATGGTGTTGATATTTTCCTGTAGAATCTCTTCTTGGGTGTAACTGAGAAGACAACCAGTGGTTTCTTGGAGCACACCGCAATCTTTAGTCGATAAAAATAGAGAGCATGCTCGGTCTTAAGGTGAGCATGATGGATTTGGAGGCTAAAGAGATATATCGAAGGTCTGTGTTAACAATCAGTAAAAAAAATCCTTCTAAAAGCAAATGTCATGCCAAATCATCGGAAGGTATCAATGACATCCTTTTAACATGACATTTGTTTTGCACTAAATAACAAATTTGCACAAATAAGAACAATAGAATTTCTCAAATGCTTTATGGTCAGCCATGTTCACGCGAATGTTTTTATGGTGGGTCCATCTAGGAACCCCATGCTGTTGATATGCTACACCTTGATATGTTGTAGCTCAGGCTCAGAAGCTCTAAAAATTGATCACCTCTCTACACGAGCTGCTTGACATCATAGGAATGGAAACCTGATCACCCTTATATTTTTAGTGGTCCACCCGATGTTTGATGAAGTAGACATAGGGTCGTGGTCATTGCCGTAGGAGCTAACCGAGCTGCCACGCGACATTCTTGATTGAAGGTGTTAGAGCTTCTTAGTTTGGCTCCTCTTTTACCTTGAGCTTTCTTTTTCACAAAACATCCGAGCTTTCATAATAAGACAAAATCTTTGTCAAGCTTATAGGCAAGAATTTCCTGGACAAAAGGTACTTGGAGTTTCTCGGTCATTTTGATAATTAAACCAATCAAATTGTAAGGTATTACACTACCAAATTATTATTTGGGTAGTGGTTGGTTCTCACTTTCAGATGCTATTGTATGAGAAAGTAATTCAATAAAATACAACGTAATGTCATATGAAATCCCTCAAAGTGAAATATAGGAAAATGATCAAGTCTAAGTGATGTGAGTCAGTTTACTGTCCTCAGCTAGGCTATGATATCAAGGCCGAGGTGATGTATTTCTTCACCAATTCTGGTGGTCCATGTTGGTTTGGGTTTGGGTTTAGGTTTTTATTTATTTATTTAATGATAGGTGAACCAACCCATTTTTTAGGGGAATGGGTGCTACATGTTTGGATGACCATCTCATTTTTTTTGTACAATTTCCTCAACGCCACTTTTAAACAACTTCGAACAGAAACTCTTCAAGTAAAAATGACTTTGTTTTGCCAAGCTCGTGACAATGAGTATTTAGCTCTTACTATGTGAGGATTTTGATGCTTGCCTTTTTTATTTATTTTACTTTTACAATAAATACTATCAAAAAATAAATAATAAGTTGGCGAGATTGAGCACTTATCTGTGTATGAGATGGGGTGATGTAGATGTCGATAGTTTCAATCACCAAAAGAACTGAATATGTAGTTTTGTTTAGCGTCCAATTGAGGCCTTCGTGATCTTGAAAGAGGTATAGGATCCAATGATATTTATGAGATTCCTCTTGTGTCATACCCTTAAGGTAGTGTGCGCGGTGATTTTGGCACAATAAACAAAAAATTAGTTCTCTCTATTTGTGAACTCGTGTTTACTCAAAAGTTGACGGTCCCATGGCAAAAATAGGCCAAAGAGGGCCTAAGGAGTGGTGATAAATTATTTTTCCAGTTGTCTGATCAATTTCGGTGAACCAAAGGCGCTTACTGGCACTCAAAAGAAGGGTTAGAAGGGTGTCGGAGTGTTTTTCAGTGTATTCCCTCCGACGATCAAGTCAATTTGTGAGAGAGGGGATAGAGAAAAAACACTATTTGGTATGTTCTGGGGTCAGATTGTGTATCTCTGTCTTCAGTTTTTTTAACTATTTATACCTTCATAGAAGTTATCATTACTAACAGTTGGGTCATGCCAATAAGAGGCTCTCCATTGGTTCATTTGAGAGGCAATGGTTAGTGTTCAGTCATTGGGCAGAACACCTCGTATCTTGCATGGGAGAGGCTCTGGTATTAAATGCTCGGGCTCCTAAGAATTTAATGCTCTTTCTTCAAAACATCCTGAGTAGCATGGATGTCCCATCCTTTTGAGGGATTATTAAATATCCTTCTGGAATGGATGCGTGCCAACAGGGACATTCCTGTCAATTGACACTCAATTCTGCACTTTATGCCACGTGTTCAATTCCCTTTGACTACTAGTCTTGTCCTTTCCCTAATTCTGACTTCTTTGGGAAAGCAAGTTAATGATGAATGAGCAGTTGTAATCTCAAGTGATGATAGTTTTCAATTATCTTCCCATGTCTCGAGGTTCTGGAGCCATGGTGACGTCAAAGGGTAGACCTTGGGAGAGCAAATTGCACAGAGGACACATATCATAATGTGAGAAATGGAGGTGACCTCAGAGCCGAGAACACGTGGCAGCAACCACCAAATTCCTGATGTCCTTGGTGCCGAGGACATGTGGCACTCCTGATGACTTCGGTGTCGAGGACACGTGGCAGCACCTCAAGTCTCTGATGTCCTTGATGCCGAAAACACATGGCAACACCACAAGCACCTCATTACCTCGGCGTCAAGGACACATGACAGCACCCTCCAAGTTCTTGATGTCCTTGGAACCAAGGACACGTGTCAAAATTTCAAGCAATGGTGACCTTGATGCTAAGGACACATGTCAATCTTTGGTGGAGTCTCAGGAGTCTCCCATCAGGTAGCATATAGTTCTAGAATTGATGAAGAGTTTCATGGCCTCTTGCCAAAGGCTAACTAGTTAGAGGGCCTTATGGGGACAAGAACTCTTGGTTGATTATTGGAATTTCACCTCATGCTTATGTTCTAAATCATTAGTCAATCGATCAAGATTTAATTTAGAACGATGAAAATCGTTCCCACATATGGCATAAAAGTGCACTATGTGTGTGTGCTAAAGCATGTAAAGAATGCACAGAGAATTAAGTGGTTCACCTAGCTAAAGAGTTGTGTTAGTCCATTATAATGAAAGTTCTTGCTCACTGGCAGTATATTTCATATTTATTGAGTAAGAAGATGAGTACAATTGAGTTTTTCCCCTTCCTTCAAGCAACCTCTTTGGGAACCCCTTTTTACATAGTGATCATTGTGTTTTATAACAGATTTTTTAGAGAATAATTAGGAAATATTCGAAGAATATTTAGTGTGATGTGGCCTTCTAGAAGCGGTGATTTATTGCCCAAGGTAGAATTTTATGACAAAAGTTATTTTCTACCCTTTTTGGCAGTTTCTATGTTGTTTATCATCTTCTGAAATATCATTGTTGACATATATATTTTTTTGGTATCATTAGCTACAATTTCTACCTTATTTAATTTTTTTTAAAAATTTCTAATTTATTTACGTTCTTAATAGTGTTATAGGTTCTTAGAATATATCTTTTTTATGAAAACCTTTAAAAATAAGGATATTTTGAAAAAAATAAGTTAATAATTATCGGTGAATATTCAATGTAGTAGTAACAGCTATATCACATCATTACTACCCTTATTTAATAAAAAATAATTAAATGGATAAATCGAATTTCACTATTTTATAAAAAATAATTATCTTATTAAATGGAGAAGTGATTATTAAATTTAGTAGGATTTACTTGCTAATTTTTTATTTTTTTAATTAGATGCTGAATAACATGACGATGATAATGTGATGCCATTCTTACGCAATAAATATTTTATTGAATATTTTTCTCAATAATTTGCTCATAAATAATAATTATTTAAACCTAATTTATTGATATAATAAATTATTATTATTTGATTAATTGAAAGTTCTAAAAAATATTAGGGGTATACTGTTAATTTAAAGCTTATAAATAATTTGGTTAATAAATTAAATCAATAAATTACGTTTAGTATACCTTAGACATGAGGATCCATGGTGATTTAGACGAGTTTATAGCTAATACCCAAAACTTGCAAGTGTACATGAGAAAAACAATAAGAGGAGATTATTCTCACTTTACAAATCTCTATTCCCACCCCAATTAAACTATAAATAATAAAATTACTAAGTTTATCTTTTTTATACTCATCTCACTAACTAAACCCAACACATTTTATACCCATCCTATTAATAACAAAACTAATTTCAATATTTACACTTAAAGTTTCTTTCTGTACCTATTTCACACATTTTATTCACAAAATATATTCAACTAGATTTCACTATGGTATTTTTCATGCAAATTACTTTAATTGTCGTTGTTCGATTTCTATCTTTTTCGATTTCATCGTCGAAATAGTACTTCAATTCTTGTCTTTGCTTCTCTTTCTTACTTTTTTAATTGTTAGTTAAAAGAATTTGCAGAGAAAAAAAAATCTTTTTCACACCAAAAATTTAAATATATAGAAAGAAACCTCTTGGAATTTTTATTATAGACTGCATATGAAGCTAAGTTTCTTGAAAAGGAAAAGAAAAATATTATAAAGTTTCTCTTCTCGAATCATACAGTCTATACATAATTGTTTGTTCACTTTTAGTATATAATTCAATTTAGTATATTTTGTATAGACTATTTGAAATAGGGTATATAAAGAAACCCTAAAAGTAAAAATTGAGATAAGTTTAGTTATTAATGAGATAGTTAAAAAATAAAGTGGACTTAGTTATTAGTACAATGGGTATAGATGGAGTGAACTTTATAGTTTTATGATTTATAGTTTAATGGGAGTGAGAACGTAGATTTATGGGGTCGGAATAGCCCTACCCAAAAATTTATTACGACGATAATACCATGTCAATATTGTCATATAGTATCATCAATTAATATTATATAAACGATTAAAAAAATGAATCTCACGAAAATTAATAACTATTTGTCCATATAAAACAATGAGCAATGTTATAGAGGCCTAATTTGAAGATCTAATGATGTGACTTCAATATAACTATTCGATTAATTGTGAGTTTCAATGTTAAATAGAACCCACTACCGATTTAAAATTGTATTGAATTAGGTCTTAAGATTAGGTTCAACTAACATTTTTCTAGTGCAATAACTATTCATTCTCACTCTATGTAACTCAATAATTACTTAAATAAGGATCACTTTGCTAATTTGATAGCTTAAAAAAAGCAATGCTATATGAACCTTGTTTAGTGAGCTTATTTTGTGATATTATAATTCTCTACAATTAGATTAATAGGGAATGAGCAATGCTATTGAGACTTAATTTACTCACATAATTTGTTGACTTAATTTACTATGACATTTGAATTAACTGTGGACTCCATCAAGCATTAGAACTTGGTGTTTATCCAATAATTCCAATGAAGTCATATCATTAGATCAACAAATTATGTCAGATTTTTAGGTGAAAATAATATTTTCCTCCCAAAAAAAGTCATTAAATTAAGTATAAATTATACTTTTTAATTAAAAATTATTAATTAGTGATATTATGTAAAAAATACTATTTGTCATTTAAAATTTTAAATTTATTGATTGACTTAATTAATTATTATTTTTGAGTTATTTTTTTAAAAACTCTAATAAAATCACATCATTAACTTACCAAATATTACGAGATATTTAAAATTGAATGGCATTACTCCACATAATATTGCATTGAATATTTAGTCGGAGTGTAAATAAATTTAAGTCAGCAGTTGTCGCTTCAAGATCCTCTGAAGCGACTCCAAAATCTCTTTCACAAATGCATGTTGTTAAAAGCCTGCAAATGCTTTCACCTCTACGCCGTCATTTCTTCAGCCTTTCTACTCTCTCCCCCCCGCCCCCCCAAACCCCAACCAACCAAAAAACGAAAACCCCTGATTGGTGCGCACTGGTCAGTTTCGTTTCCTCAACCCAAAACTCTTTAACCTCTCTCTGTATTCTTTCGTTGTCTCTCTATCGACTGCTCAGGATCATTTTACTGGACCTCTAGGGAGCTGAAGTACTGAAGTTATAGCAAGTCAACAATGGCCACCAGAAGTAGCATGAAAGAGAAAACTGAGGCAGCAAGGCTCACGTTGAGGCCATCAGAAAACAAAAGTTTTCAATAGGTGAAAAACGAGCAAACCCCTTAACTGCTGATCTCCACCACGCTGTCACCAACCTCTCCTCTGAGCTCTACACCAAAGATATCCATTTTCTCATGGAGCTTATTCAGGTTCTCTCCCTCTTCATTCTTCATATATCCAGTGTTTTGAACCTGTTTCATGTGAGAATGGTGCCTAAGTAGTTGTTTTTTAATGTGTCTGTGGTTTGGTGACCTTAGAATGCCGAAGACAATGAGTATGTGCCCGGCGTTAGGCCGACGTTGGAGTTCGTGTTCACAACCACTGATGTTACCGGCACCGGCTCTCCGGCGACTCTGCTGGTATTCAACAATGAGGTGGGTTTTACAAAAGCAAACATTGACTCCCTCTGCAGTATTGGTCAATCCACTAAGAAAAACAAGAGACGCCAAGGCTTCATCGGAGAGAAAGGTAATGAAACATATGTCTTTTACGTCCTGGGTTCATTCACTCTCACACATACACAAGTCCATGCCTCAAAATCCTGAAACCCTACTTTAGGTTTTGCTAAATGTCACATGCGAGTGCTCATAGAATGGGGAAGAGTGTTTCATATATATGAAAACTAGAGTGATTTTCATATTGGGAGATTATTGATTTTGTGTTTTCCTTTTCCTATGGTGAGACTTATTCATGGGCGCCTGAGGTGGTCATTGATAAGGTTCCAAGCATGCCTATGTTGGAATTACCCCAATGTAATGTTACTTGGGTTAGAAAATCACTCCGCTACAAGTGGACTAGAAATAAAATGAAAGGATGTAGAGGAGGATATGGATGCTTAAAGAATTTTTTTTTTATACAATCACACTCAACTTGGATTCTTCAACTTCTACTAAGTTCTACTTACTTACTTAGGACATTAGAACATATATTCTATTTATATAGGTCTAAGCCATAACTCCTAGTCCTAGGATTCCATTTGCACACCACTACCCCTACTAACTCTTGTAACTTCTATAATAGTAAGACACCATTACTTAGGGGAATTAATACCCACTAATCATGGTTTTAAAAACTGGCTGGACATCAACCCGACAAAGGGACCAGGTCAATGGGTTATTGGTTCAACCTTTGGATCAGTAGTCGAACCGATTAAATAATAAAAAAATAAAAAATAATTATAAATAGATTAAAAAATTATAATAATTATGAAAATAACATGCTTAATGTATATTAGATCAAAAAAACCCCAAAATCATCAAAACTGTATCCAATATCAAATAATTAAGGTCTTCAAATTTCAAAGTTCCAACACCTAATAGTATAATCAACTACAAAATTACAAATACAAATCAACTGATAGCATAATATAAGAGCTGAATGAATTTTCAAATCAAGTAATAGCACAATTACAAACATATTATAATAGCATTCATCAAAGAATATCTTTACTATTTCCCGGTGGAGAATTTTTTATTTTTTTTTTAACAAAAATTCTAATTCATAGCAAACAAAATAAGTATAGGTTTACCATAGTTCAGCTGAGGAAAAAAAAAGAAAAAAAATTGCTATAACATAGTCAAAATAGCAATTCATTCAATTACCCATCACGCTTCCATCTACAAGCTACCCATCCTTCAAGCTTACTTCTCTGATGAGGTTGGTCCCCTCTTCTTCCCAAAGCCAACAATGGCGGTTACAAAGTGGCAATTGTACTGCATGCGCTTGTGAGCACGGCCACGGGCTTCTTCTTCTTGTCTTGCTTAGCCACCTTCGATGTTTGGCCTCTCACCTTACCGGCACTAGCTCGAGATCCATGAACCTTACCCATGGCGGATGGTTTTTTCTTTTTGTTGGCTTAGAGCTCCTACTGCTGTTGGTGCAGATAGCTTCCACAGATGAATATCGTTGTTGAACCAGAGAAGAGGGCAAGTAAATAAAATTTTGGGCAAAAATGTCCTAGAACTTCATTTTTATAGTTGTCAAATTAAACTGTCCGATTTTATCCAAACCAGCCGGGTCAGCGAGTGTATTACAAAACCGGTCGGTTCAATGGATTCTTACCGGTTCCTTTGCTCAAACGATCTGATAGTTGAATCGACTCAATTCAGGCTCCGGTTCACCGGGTCAACCAGCTGGGCCAGACCAGGTTTTAAAACACTGCCACTAATACTCTTGTCTTCCACTATTTGTATATTCTTTGCCCACTAACACACATCAAATTAACATACCTTAATAATATAATAAATACTGAAACAAGTTTATATTCCCCCACCCCCACCCCCACCCCACTCCACTAAATTTGATTTTGCACTTCCTAGTCCTTATCGTGCAAATCACTTCATAATAGAGGAGTTTCATGGAATTATTGCAAACTTCATGACTTGAGCACCACCTTCTTCAATTGCAAGAATCTTCAAATTCATCTCCATTGTGATATAGGGATTATGATGAATTTTCTCACACTTGCAAAATATCTTCATCTTTCCCTTCACCCTTGGTGCATTGACCTTTTTTTTTTCAAACTTCTTGAACCTCTCTTGTGCTAGATCTCTCGAATCGAAAATTTTATCCAACCCGTGTCACTTAAAATATTTTATACACCAAGTTGTAAGTGATAATTAGTGTAATTTTCAATAAATTTATCACCTTGAACATAATTCTTGAAAATTTTGATGAGGTGGTCTTCACTTTCATGCTTGCTTGGAAAAACATCTTTTGTAGTTACTTCATAAGTTCCCACTTCAGCATCTTTAATCACATAAGGATCCCTGATCTCTTCATTCTTTAAGAATTCTTCAATTTCTTATACCTTTGTTTCAACTTCTTCACAAACTTCTTTTTTTGTCATTTCTTTAGTTGCTTCTTCAACTTCATCGTTTTCTTCATCCTCTCTAGTCTCTTGAACTTCAACTTTTACTTTAACTTTTTAACTTCTTTCACTTCATCAAAATGATGCTCTTCTTGATCCTCCATTATTGTGTCTTCAATTACATATTCATCTTTTTGAAAACATTGAATCCAATATTCCTTGGATAAAAACCCACCTTCATATTTGGAGACAATTCTTTCAATCAACTTCCAAACATGATTTGGAGAACTTGAATCTCCTACAAGCTTCTAAATCTTAGGATGAATCGCACTCTTAAGAACTCCAAGTGTCTTTTTTTTTTGTTTTTCTCTCGGATTCTTCTAGGCAAGCCACTTCTTGGCTTTTCTTCAATCATACCCCATAAATCACATGTTGTGAGATAAGAAAGAAGAGTAATCTTCATTCTTTTGTAATTAGAGAACTTCATCATTTCACACCAAAAACATATACTTGGTGAATCTTCCATGATCGTCCTAATAATGGCGATCTATGAAGACTTCAAGTATTGTACCAGCTCTGAAAAGGAGCTATCTAGACTTCTAGGATTGAAAGCTGACTTTGATACCAATTTAGTGGAATTACCTCAATGTTATTTCGGTTGGAAAATCGCTCAGATACCACTTTATTGGAGTCAAGAGGACTAGAAATAAAATGGAAGAAAGTAGAGGAGGATATGAATAATCGAAGACAAAAAAATTCATACAAGTTGATTACAATTACACTCAATTAGACTCTTCAATAAAGCCTTATTCCATTCGTTGTGTTTTTTAATGCCAAGGTCTCCCATTTTTTAAATCTTAGTGACTTGATCCAATGCTACATTAGCATCACAGAGATTAAGATCAGTTTCAGACAATAAAAATGATCTAATTATCTGCTCAATTTTCTTCACAACAGCTTCAGGTATCGTAAGAGGGCTACACAAAAAAATGCTGTAAGCTGCATAATGCAGAATTAATAAGTTGTACTCTACCAACATACGATAAGGATTTGTTGACCCATGATTTGCTTCTGGATACTGTCTTGTTAGCATCAGTGATCTCGATCATGTTTTCTTTATCTTTTTACTATTCTACTCCCCCCCAACTTAACTTAAAGTTTAGCCCCTGCTTTTACTAATTCTTATGCTTTTTTTTTCCCTAAGTATTAACGATCCGCAGCGGGGTAAATGATGTAACATGGAAGGCTTGATATATATATATATATATATATATATATATATATATATTATTTGGCTAAGGACTGAATGGCTTAAGTCTTGGACTAAGTGGGTGCCAACGTCTGTCTAAAGGTCTTTTATTATTGAACTCATTCAACATCCTGAACAGTTGGACACTGGGAAGGAAAAATGTGTCATTAATTTTTTGCACTGAATGACTGTGTAATCCTGTTTAGTGGGGGTTTGGAGGTGCAATAGTGTTTAAACTCCTTAATCGCGAAGCAATTCTGAGGGTTTAGTATCCCACCCCACCAATTGTCTCAATTGTACAATGTGGCATCCTATCACCTTGTTTCGCTTGTTTGAACTTCTTGAGGTCAATGCCTCTTATTGGTGGACTTGTTCAGTAGATGTTTACACGTGCATCTCCAATTTAACTAGCTTGACCATTGGCCATTGATCTTGGTCAAATTGCTGGTTGTGGTACTCAAATTTACTTTTGAATGTTCTCGTACTAACTATGCTGTAATAGGTTTTCCTTTCAATTTTAGTAGGAGAAATTGGATCGCCTTATGACTCTTATGTGTGTGCAAGAGTTGCATTCTCTTTTCCTTTTTTCCTTGGTTGGGCCAGAGGTGATGGGTTGATGCCTTTTCAATTTTCACATTTCCTGCACATAATAAGCCTACGGTAGGCCAGGAAAGATATTGGGACTGTATTTATTTAAATTATTTACATCAATTCATCTTCTGTAGCCAAGTTAGTGGTGCTGCCTTGATGCCACCATTTGCTGCCTATTTTGACAGTCTTGTATCTGGTATGTGTTGTTAAGTTAATTTTAAGGAAACTGTACTGTTAAGCCGTAGCATTTTTTGATGGCTTTTTACCTACTCATTAGGGTTGGAGATGATTCAGAGTTAATAGATGCAGGTGATGTTCAATTGATGTCCCATGTAGGTATTTGATTTGCCTTTGTCCCTTTACTGTGGACATTTGATTTCCTTTGATGGGGGTCTATAGAGATGGAATTTTTAATCATTGTCTCTTGACTCTTTAGCATTCAAACAGATATTTTGGAGTACTAAACTAATATCCATTGGTTGATGACTATTGAAGGAATTTAGTTCAAAGTGGAGACAAATTGGTCCTCTAGGACAGATTGAAGTCTTTTCCTCAGTTATCATATTAAGTTGCTTTTTCCTTATGGTGGTGTTGATGTTTACATGTGCTGTATTTAGATTACATAGGCAATATTTTGGTATCCGATTTGTCGATTTCTTTTCTTTTTTTTCTTTACTCAAACTGCACATTTTGAGAGAACCAAAGAGTGATCTAAATCGAGAACTAGTTCTGTTGAACAAGTGCCACATTTGGCAAACTAACCAATCATCAGATTTCTTTGTTGATTATTTGACGATTCAGATGCTTTGTTGCCTAGAGTGGCTTCCCCATGTGTGGCAGAGGTTATGTGTCATGTCTTGAAATGTCTGACATGGTTGGGATTATGCTTACTAGGTTGTTTAGTCTTTGAACTGAAAAAAAAGTGTTTTTGCAGTATGTTGATAGAACTATGTGACTTATAGTAATTTTCATGTCATACTTCGCAGGAATCGGGTTCAAGAGTGTGTTTCTTGTCAGTAAACAGACATATATATTTAGTAATGGCTACCAAATCAGGTTCAATGAAGTTCCTAATGAAGACTGTGGTATTGGGCATTCGGGTCTTGCGGGCTCCTGCCTACTACCACCATCATTCTTCCCTTAAAGCCTGAAAAAATTGAAGCTGCGAAGAAACAACTGTCAGAGATCCACCCAGAGGTTTTGCTCTTCTTACATAAGATCAAGAGATTGTCAGTGCGTGGAAAAAATAGCTGTCCTTTATTAGCGGATTCAATGTCTTCAATTTCTATCTCTAGTGAGATTAATGTTATTCCTTTGAGGAGTCAAGGTGCAAGTTCCTGTATACTCCATCTTTCGGTTCAGGAGGAAAGAGGTGCACCTGAAGCCACTTGCAGCTATTACTTGTATAGACGAGCCTGCCCGGTGAAACCTGAGAATGTTGTGGATGCTAGGAAGGACTTGAAGGAGATGGTAATATCTCTAGCCTTCCCATTTGGAGAGAGACTGAAAAGGGGGACTTCTTCTGTTGGCATCTTTGCTTTCCTGCCAACGGCAATGGTTACAAGTTTTCCATTTATAATTCAGGCAGACTTCCTTCTTGCATCTTCAAGGGAAGCAATAGTAATGGACAGTAAGTGGAACCTGGGAATTCTTGGCCATGTTCCTTCCTGCTTTGTTAGTGCGCTTATTACTTGTATGAAATCTGCTGAAACTGCTGAGTTTTTTACTGGTGCTCGAGTGCTTGAATTTTTGCCTGTGCATAACTCTCCTTTCAAAGAGCTGAATAGAGTGAGAGAGTCCATCAGAGCCGTGTTGATGTCAGAGTGCACTGCTCCTTATGAGTCATTCTGTAACAAGCAAATGGTTTTTTGCGAGCCAACCAAAGCAATAAGGATCTTTCCAGAATTTCGCAAGATCCTGCTCCGCATTAAGGGACAGAATGTTTCTCTGAGTGGTATTTCTTCCCAAGGGAAGTTTGTGCTACATAATTCTGTGGACCACCCAAAATATGATGAGGTTTGGGAGTTTCTTGGAGTTCCATCTGCGTCTGATAGTTATAGTTGGTATGGAAAATGCATTACCGCATGTAAGCTCATGCTCCGGGCTTCTGCAGATGTGTACATGGAGCTTCTTTGCTTTCTGGCCACCAACTGGAAACGGTTTCCACATTACAGTGTTAATAGCATACCTCTCCTGAAATACATTGCTTGGAATGGGGAAACTTTATCATGTAGTGTTCTACAAATCATACGAGAATCGTTAAAGGTTCATCTTGTTTGGGACGCAGAAGAACATGCCTGGTTAAATAAATGGAACTTAGAAATGGGGTGCCCAAATGATATGTATTTCTGTCCTGATGCATTGATAGCTTCTCTTCTGGGAGTTTGGAGAAAGGTGTGATCGTGCCTAATGTAGGTGTGATCGTGCCTAATGTCTCTACGTACAGTTCAAGACTGGTTAGTTTTGTTGAAACCAAGAAGGACCCAAAACTTGCATTGTCACTATCTCATCTTGTATATCAGTCTGCCTTGAAGAACTATATTGGATCCAACTCCATTTCCAGAATTTTACAGTCTATGCCAGTGGTTGACAAGTTTGGGAATGTAACTCTTTGTACTAGGATACTGGTGCCTGCTTCCATGAGCACATGGGTGAAGCTGTTTGGTTCCAGCAATCCATTTATCAGGGATTTTGCGATGGATAATAGTGAAATGAGAGAGAAACAAGAGCCTTTTGAAATGATGGATAAGGAAGATGAAGCAAATTGTGCTGAATATATTGAACTAGGAGAGGGTTATGCTTCAGCTACTGAGTTTGCAGGGGAATTGACACCACCAAGGGAACTATCAAACTTCTTTGTACAGCATGCCAAAGCTGTTGATTTACCTCATATAGTACCTCCAGACATGGCACTACAAGTAGCTTCCACTCACCTAACTAGAGATCAGGCTATATTACTTCTGGACTGGATCCGGAATTTGAGAGCTAAAGAGTATGCTTCCCAAACAGACAGAAGCCAGCTGAAGAAGTATGATATGCCTGCAAGGTTCATCAAAAGCATACGTAGGGGGGAGTGGATGAAGACGTACTCTGGCTTTAGTTCTCCAATGCAGTGCTATCTTTATGATAGAGCTGAGAATTCTACTCTCTTGGAAATAGGAAAAACTCTCATGGTCTTATCAGCTATTAATGAACAGTATTATCAAGACCGGATCAGTTCTTACAAGGATGAGTTGATATTCGTTGGTGTAAAAATCGGGACAGAGAATATGTATCAGCTCATAATTGATTACCTTAAATCTCTTGCTTCCTCTCCTATGAGTAGGAAATTGGCAATTTCGCTTTTAAGGTTTATTCGTTATTCAAAGGCCAATGATAGTCTTGATGAAGACTTGATCAAAACTCTCAAAAATGGGGAAATGGCTGAGGACACATCAAGGTTTTGCAACCCCTGTTGGATCTGTTTTTCTGACATTTGATATTATAGGGGTTATTCTACTAATCACAGATCTGCGGGTTGTAAATCAATGATACTATGGGAGCCAACTTAGTGGTTTTGCTGATGAGCTCAATTTGCTGGGTGTTGTAGTGGATATGGAAGAAGTATACAAACTAATTCCCCAACATTTCAGATTCCCTGGAGATCTCTCCAAGTTTACTAAGGATGCTGTCTTCCTGTTGCTTAAATGTGTCCGGCATATAGGTCCTGCAGCTCTTGGCTTGATACAAAAAATCAGTTGTCAAGCTTGGATCAAAACTAGTTCTGGTTTTACATACCCCTCAGAATCTCTTTTGTCCAATCCCAAATGGGTTCACTTACTTGATATTGTTCCTTTACCCGTCATTGATGAATCCTACTATGGAGACAGGATTAGTTCATACAAGGCAGAACTGAAGGCCATTGGTGTACTAGTAAATCTTGACCAAGTTTGTAATTTGCTTGCTACTAAAATCAAGTTGCTATTGTCTTCCACTGTTTTAACCAGTGCCATAGTAATCTCACTTCTGAATTGCGTGAGATATATGAATGAAACGATGTCCTCACATATAGTAATATTATGAACTGTTTGTCAGGTGAACATTGGTTGAAAACCTGTCATGGCTATAAATCTGCTTCAGATTGCATTTTGTATGATTCCGAATGGGCAAAAGTTTCTCACTTTGTTGATCTGCCTCTCATTGATGAGGCCTTCTATGGTGTTGAGATCTACTCTTTCAAAGATGAACTGAAGTTGCCAGGTGTTGTAATTGATTTCAGTGAAGGAGCTCATTTTGTTGCGAGAGGTTTGAAGTTACCATTAGAACAGTCATTAGCAACAGCAGAGTCTGCTCTTGCATTGCTTCAATGTGTCACCTACTTACGAAATAGTTGCAAGCCCTCTGAACAGCCACTGCCTGAACCTTTGTTGGAAAAATTAAAAAGAGAGAAATGGTTGAAAACGCACATGGGGTACAGATATCCAGATGAAGCTCTTCTTTTCAATTCAGAGTGGGAAGGCCATTTAGAAGAATATGATGGACCTTCATTGATCAAAGTTACTATGGGAAACTTAGTTCTCTGGGAATGTATGATCTAAAAGCTATAGGTGTCAAGACGGGTGCAGAGGAAGTTTGCACTCTTATTTTTAAGAGTCTGTCTTCTCACCATCAACCTTCTCAGGTAGTGAGACTTTACAGGTTCCTACAAAAATGCAACTGGGGTCCAAAATCACAGGATGATGCAATATTTCAGTTGTGGATTCCAGATGATGGGGCTACAGGTGGAGGAAAATGGGTGGGTAGTTGGGACTGTGTGCTTCATGATAGAGACAATCTCTTTGGCCATTGTGTACATGCTCTTGATAAATATTATGACAAGCAATTGCTCACTTTTCTGTCAACGGCTTTTGAAGTTGCTGAATTTCCCACTCTTGATAGATATATTGATCTCTGGGACGGCTGGGTGGGAGGTAAGCAACAAGCATGCCCGGTAAAGTTGAACTCCTTTTGGAATTACATATCAGAACACTGGAATCCTTGTACTGAAATGGCTCTCAAAATTAGTATGACCATGTTACCTGCGATGGATATCTCCGGGAAGGTCATGTTAGTGGAGAAAGAAGAATTGTTTATCCCTGATGACATGCATCTTAGAATGGCATTCACAGAAGCTAGTGAAAAGCCACTCTTTGTCTGGTTCCCACAAAATGGATTGCCAGCCCTTTCACGAATATATGAAATATATGGAAGTCTTGGAATTCGTAAAATATCTGAATCTGTTGAGTTCTGTGTAAATTTGAAAAGCTGGAATCTGAAGACAGCCTGATAGGGAGAACATTGATGAAAATACTATTGGGTTTCCTAGCAAATCCTCTAATAGCCATGCCAGCGGAGGAAAGACACAGGAGGGCAAAATCTCTCCTTGATATCTCAGTTTTTGGAACAGATGAACCGATGATAGTCAGCTACAGTTTGCTTTTACCTTCTCTTAAGAACAGATTGCAAGTTGAAGTAAGAAGAAAGGTGCTCTGGGACACTAACTCCTGGAAATTGCTGCTTCATAGACCAAGCTGGAAAGAAGGGCACAAAGACATCGAGTTCATCACTCATTTTGCTCAATTCATATCAGAGACAGCTCTGCCAAATAGCACTTCTCTTGCAGACAGCCTGTGCAAAATTATAAAGATGGGCTTTGCATTTGGTTTCAAAGAGGATGAGGTTGACTTCTTGCTGGTCACAGAAAACCTAGAGCTGTCGATTGAGGACAAAAAATTCCTTGATTCCCTATTTCCTCCTGCCAAGTCTCCTGTTCCAATGCAACTTCAGTCATACTGCCTGAAAGCACCTTGTACACCTGAAACTTCCTTATACAAAAAACCACGAAATCCTCAGCGCAAGAAACACCGATAGATATGAGTCTCTGATGACTCATTTTTGGGTAATGCAGCAGCATGTAACTACTATGTTTCAGATGTTTTATTTTAAGGAATGTAAATGATAAGTTTATGTGACATTTAGTTATGTAGTCGTTGTTGGACTCATTTTGAGTGGCTTTGTTGGAAGCCATCTGAAGTGTGAAAAGTGTTTTGTAGAAGAAAGTTGATAGTATATGCATGTATACCATGTGCATACGTGGCGAGTACCACCAGGAGTAATTCTGTACAACAAAACTGTTTTGTCCAGGGTGCTCTCTCTCTTTTGCAACAGAATGATTTTCAAGTCCTTTGAATCAGAGTAGTTGGTATGTTGAAAACCTATTTGCTAGCTATGCTCATACATATCCAATATGGCCAACTTTATAAAATGCTCAGCTCTTCCTTCTTGAAGCATGGTTTCTTTAATGTTTTACAGGATTTTTTGTAGAATTTGAATTGTGCATTATAATGTCTACAAATTACAAAGAGGGTAAATTTGTGAAGGTTTCTATGTACCTGTTTAGGATTACTATTAGAACCAATGTCTTTTGTTAATTTGAATTTTGAATTATTGTTACCCTTCATTGTCTGATGCATAATGCATGTGGAAAATTTAAGTGTTTTCTGAAAATAACAATGTAAAGTGTCTGGATTATTTGACAGAACGGACAAGGAGTATTATAGTATGCTTATCTATTTGTCATCGTAATTCCATCGGGATCTGAAGTCTCAGATTGTTTTGTAGTAGTAAGCTGATGGTTTATGTATGTGTACCAGAAATGCAGATTTGAGTATTGGCCGGAGTTAATCTGCACAACAATAGCTTCTTTCCAAAATTTTTCTGTATGAAAAAGGCCCATTTTCAAGTCCTACATGAGAATATTTAGTTTATTGAAATCCTCTTTGTTTACATCATTAATATTGCTGAATTTAGAAATGCTCTGCTGCTCCTCCTTAAAGTACAGTTTGCTTTTTTTTTTTTGCTATGATATTGTGGTAACAGTGCACACTACTGTGTTAATGTTTTAAACTGGTCGAAATTGATCTAGCATATTAATTTCCCGTGCAAGTCTTCTACGCATTTTTTTAATGATTTTTTTTAGATCGTGCATCTTTTGTTTTCGATTTATTACCTTCATTTCATGACGTAGAATGCACAAGGAGTATTAAATGAGTGTTTTCTGAAAATAGCGATGTGAAGTTTCTGCAGAGCATTATACTTTGTTTATCCATTTGTCATCACAATTCATCTGCTGATCACATTGCGCTCAGGATATAGGATAGGATATATCCTTTGGCGTCTGAGTTTCGATGGTAGGAATCTATTTCAGTAAGTTTTCAGGAATGTAAAACCAATAAAATTTTCCAAGTTTTTTCACTCAGGAGGTCTTAGTCCACCTATCCTCTGATGCTTTGTAGTTGGGAATTATGGTTGTTGCTTAGTAATTTTCCCCACCCCGTTTCAGTGTTGTGGAACCTAGAATTTGTTTAAGCTGATCGTTGTGATGTTAAACTAATCAGTTCTGCTGCTACATTATTTTTGCTACTTTTTTTGGTTGTCAGTACATAGGGAGGTCCAAGGCCTAAGAATGCTGGTAAGCAACACCCACCGGGTATTCTTCAATCTTGTAAATTAAGCTTTGGGGTTTTCTTTTCTTCTTCTTCTTCCGTTTGTTATGTTGTTTTTCCCCAGGGAACCCTGCAGCTCTTGAACCCTACATTCTGCTTATGGCCTTTATGCCAGAGAAAGTCTGCACATCTGTAATGTAAACTTTCTCCCCATCACAATTTTATCTGCAAAAATGGGTATTGGTACGTGGCTAAAACAGATATTTAAAACTGTGGATTCGAACCAAGGACAATCACTTTGAGCAAATGATACATGTTAAGTCTATACTCAATCTAATGGGGACTAAATTAGATGTTATTTTAGCAAAATTTTATCTGCATGCACGGAAAAATAGCATACGTCATACATTTAACTCTGAATTCTTGTAATGGACACATGATCTTAACTGCATAATACAAACTTCAGCCTTTGTGATATATAGTTTGTGGATGCTTTTAAAATAGAACTGACTTGAGTTCGTTGCTTTTTCGAGTAGCAAAAACAGTGAACAAAATACATGCATATGTACGTATTTGTTCAAATTTCATCAAAGAAAAACTGTTTACAAATGATTGAGAGAATTGAAAATCTTCAACATCTAGGGAGTGAGAACTTAGATAAACACATACCTAGCCTAAATGGAAACCAAAAGAAAATAGTTATGGCAGATAGTTATGGCAGCCTACTTCAGTTCCATAGTCCAATCCATAATGTCCTCAGTAAGACCCATCTGTATATTAGTAAGTGCAGAATGCAGTTGTTGTGACACACGACCAATTCCATTCTTTCCATAAGATATCCTGCACACACAAAAAAAAAAAAGAGAAAACAATATAAAATAGGTACTCTTTGCTACTAATATAATTAAATTGGACTTGATAGTAGAACGAGTAGGAAGGAGAATGGATAAATGCTGTGAACATAAAATTCTATACGTGATTATTTGTTTTCCTAGTCTTTGATACAAGAAAAAGGAAAATTTCACTCCTTTCTTGTGTCGAAATAATAATCATCAGTTTTTGTATAAAGTTACTACAGAACCGTTTATGCCCTAGCACAACCAGAGCAGAACCCAACTTCAAAAGAGAAGTGGGTGGGTTCAAAGGTTATTTGAACATAAACAAGGGGCTTGTAAATTTCCCCTCCACAAGTCCTGGTGCATTGATCACTTTTTTTTGGACCAGATCGTGCATTGATCACATAATCATCAGCTAAATCTGTACTAAAAGCCCACCTAGTTACGTTGTTACATGGTCATATGGGCCTGTTCATGTTGAATCACTACCAAAAGGCAAAAAGAAAAAATGGATAAAACCTATGTACTATTTTATATACAAGTTAACCCAATTTTTGTGCTGATGTTAGGGACATGTTAAACTCTATGACAATAAACAAGCTCCTCCATTTGATTAACAACTAGGTCCTGAGAAGGAAGTCCTATTTCTCATTCAAGGTTGGTAAATATCAAACACCAGTGCATTTTAAAAATATTCAAAATATACACTAGAATGAAGAGCAAAACACAGCTTCAGGTCTCATTAATAAAAACACTTAGTGGGACTTGGTCAAATAAAATGAAATTATTAGTGGATCAGGTTCCAGTCTCTAGGTGTTTCAAATGGGCAAAAACACATTGAGAAGAATATTAAATATTATAGTTGAGTTTGAGAATTCAAAGAATTAGGGCAGCATGGGTCAGTCTAAGCCCAACATCTTCAGCCCATGGGTTAAAAAGAAGAATCATACGAAAAGAAAAAGGAGGGTACAAAATAACCATTACAGATGCATCGGATGGACGTCAAGTGGTTATTTTGTTTTTTTGATTTGTATAGTGAAGAAAATACAGTACATTGTATTTACACAAAATAAATTCTCATATATACTGTTGCAGTGCAAGGCCCACCCATGGGCCAAGATGTCCTGCCCATGCTAAGCCCCACTAAGAGTCCTCAAGAGAATATAATGGACTCAAAGTTCTTCAGCTTCTCTAACTTTGCTATGCATCCCAAAATTTGTTTCCCAAGTTAGCTGGACATTGACCACCAACAAACTAAGTGAGCCCCAAATATTAAATGATTGCGGGTTAGCCACATCACTTGGGAGGCAGAGTTTGTGATTCATAGTATTTTTAGGATAAATATCGTAATTAGTCCTTAAACTTTGTCTCCTATTTCAAAATAGTCCCTAAATTTTTAATTGTCTGTATTTAGTCCATCACCTATCAATTTCGTATCAATTAAATATTTTTGTCAATTTTAGCCATTAAAACAAATATAGACATATGACGAGAACGACTACTTGAAGAACACGTGGGCTTGCCTCTGTTTGATCTAAAGGGTGAAATGGACGGAAGGACTTTATTGACACAAATATGATAGTTGAGGAAGTAAATTGAGACAATTGAAAATTTAGGGACCATTTTACAATAAGAGGCTAAATTTTAGGATCAATTGTGATATTTACCTTTTTTTTTTAAAAAAGAAAAAAGAAAAGAAAAGATCAGGACAAAAGGAGCAGAATCCAGGTTAATTGGGAACTGGCTATGGATCCACACCTTGGAAGGATAAACCCATCAAAAAGGTAAATAGAAAATCCAGAATATAAACATTACCTTTTAGCAAGATAAGTTATACTGCCCACAGGAGATACAACCACAGCAGTTCCCGTGCAAAAAACTTCATCAGCGGCAAGCAATTCATCCACCGTTACCAGTCGCTCATCAACCTACATATTGATATGTGAATAACAAAGTGATTTGAAAACCCATTTTCACACTCAACATTGCAGGAGATAAGCAACAATTTTGAAAGACTCCGGGTTAAGAGGAGGCTGGGGGACAAGGAAAGTATATCACTGATTCTAAATGATTCAATCAAGTGATAAACCTGGTGGTTCAAGTTTACACCTACAAGCTTTGCATGACCAATTATGCCACAGAAATCAACCTCCAAAATGCCCTAAAAATATTGAGGTAAACTACAGAGAGGGAGGGTGGGGGGATAATGAAGGCAAGAAAAAGAGGAAATTTAACTTAAAAAAGAAAAGCCACTGCAAAAATATTGAGGTGTGCATGTGTGGATTGTACAAACATGCAGAAGTCCTAATTAATAGGGGCACAAGACCTTAAATTTCAAAATCAATGCTTCATTTGATCAGATGAGTCCTACCTAGGCATCTATTCAGAGGATAGATGGGATATTAAATAACCTTATAATACACTCCTGAAATAGTCAGATAAATTAGCCACCTTCACACTCATATAAGCATTGTCCCAACTACTTGAGATCTGTTTATGGATCTTGTTTAGCCATTCTGTTGTGTTGATCATATTCACTGTTCAACCACAATCTCCAATGGACTTTTTCACCATCTTAACCCTTTTTCCATCACAGTCAATTTTCTCTTGATTTGGTCAGATACAATTAGCCAACGGCCTAACAATCCAAGAGCTTATAAGGATAAGATTCATTCATTCGTAATGTGATAATCAATCAGTTTATGAGAGGTTTACCACAATGTCTAGCCTACTGACGTAGCGGCCCATCAGCAAATACTAGGCCAGTCAATGGAGCAAATTTTAATCCGAATCTGAGTCTATGTAACAGGATATGGATTAATTCTTTGATCTGTTTACCCAACTCCGATTAAGTTTCTTTAAACGGATTTAAATTTGGATACATGAAAATCCGATCCAATAAAAATTCGATCTGGTGTGTGTATATATATATATATACACACACAGCTAGATTATTAATGTGATTGACATGAAATTAAAAATAAATTATTGAATAGAATGATTGGTTGATTAAATTAGGCTGCAAGATAACTTAAATTTGGTAAAATTATTAATTTTTTATGAAATTTTGTTGGAATTCAAATTTTCAGATTGGATTGGATAATCGGATCGAATATCCAACTGATGTAGATATGGACTAAGATTTTAAAATTCGTCGGGTTAACGGATCAAATTTGGAACTCGGATTTTCTATCAAATCTGGATTTGGACAGATCAAGGTCCGATCCGTTGACAGTCCTAGCGAATACATCGGAAAATCTTTTATTTTTCTATAATGACATATATGTCACTCTTGACAGCATTCTAGGGCAGGCCCATCCCAACAAAATTTGTATATATTACAAAGCTGATCTAGAGCTTTGAGCTCTTACGAATATCAACAGGATCCTTAGCTTGAATTGCACGTACTAAAGAGCCAAAGAACATGCAAAAGTCCTGGCATTTAGTAGTACCCCTCAATATTCCATATTTTTAAATTGGCTCTGTATTTCATGGTTTCACATTAGTAGGCAAAACCTGGCATCAATGTTCAGCAGAAACGTAGCAGATGATTGCTAACTTCTTAATTACAAATATCCAAGCTGCATATGTTTATGTTGCCTATAATCAATATTTCATAGAATAATGTTCAAAAAAAACAATCATAGAATCATAGCCGATCACAAGTACCTGGAATCCTTGGCTGCGAGCAACATCAATTATACTCTTTCGTGTAATACCAGGTAGGATGGTCCCCTTTAGTGCAGGAGTAGATATAACGTCCCCCTATGTGAGCATATTAATTAAAACCTTATAAGCAATTATGTGATATAATGCTCTATATCAGTAAACACGAACCATTAGGGAACATACAGGGCCTTAGGCAACTTTATCACATTGCAAAGCATATAAACAATTGAAGTATAACAAGCCCAAAGTATGAAAATAGAAACTAAATAGATAAATGAAGTGAAAAGAAAATATAAAAAATTGCAGAAATTCAAATTTGAACTTTTTAAAAAACTTACCAAAAAAATTTCAACCCACTACACAACCAAACATGCAATCAATATGAGCAAATCATGGCATCCTAAAGTAAAACACCTAATGGCGCATAAACATTAAAAACAATACATATTCTAGTTGATGATCACCCCTTGAATTTGTCAGACCTCACTTATGCTGGATACATAGGAAGAGAAAGAAGCGCATGCATACAAACCAGCACACATCAGGCCTTGTGTGAAAAGATCAATAATCATTTTTGTATCCAGCAAACCAGCTGTTAGTCTAAAGAACAGGACCGTTATTAAATTTCCAGTTCGAGGGTACAAATTCTCAAATTCAAAATTATGTAGTTAGGGAACTATAATTGTTAACAAACAATCAATTCTATTACACCTGTGAGACATCTGAACCACATTGAAGTGTCATACAAAATTGCATGGACTTGCAAAAAGGTTGTGATCAATGTTTTCTGGAGGTTGTAATGACTATGAATTTGTCTGTGCTTATATTTATTCACTGTCAAAACAGCTGTAAGATTGACTCTGATAGTTATTGTTTCTGGAAGTAAGGCATCTGCAGCAAAGTACTGGTGGCCAGTTTCACATTCTATATGGCAGTGAGGAGGCCTTATGAGGTGACAATAGTTAAGATGCTGGCATAACACTAAAATGGTGGTAATCCCCTTTCTGAGTGGTCGAAAATTGTTGCAGTGGGTGACATGAAGATAATAAGCACAGCAGTCAGTCATATAAGCAGTATTTAGATGCATGCCATGGGCCTATGGCACCAGCTGGGTGTCAGTGATAGTAAGGACATGATGAGCTTGTCCCAGGGGTGGTGGTTGTGGTTAGAAAGTGGTCAGGGGGAAAGTATCTTCACCTTCGCCACTTTCTATTTCGTATCGAGTAGAACATGATTAACATCTGCCTCTTGCTTGATCTTGTGGTATACCGTGTAATCTATTCATTTGTAGTGAATAAGGCCTCTTCCTCATTGATCAGTTTGTAAATTTGTATCTTCACCTTGGCCACTTTTTATTTCTTGTCAACTAGAACATGATTAACATCTGCCTCTTGTTTGATCCTGTGTTGTAATCTATTCGTTTGTAGCGAAAAGGCAGCCGTCTTTCTCATTGAGTAGTATGCCTGGATCTCTAATTCTCCACTTAATTCACTTAAATCTGAGTTTCATATTTTGGATGGTATTCTAAATTTACTTCGAGTCTTGCACTCCAACCAGGGATCAAAATTTTATTTTGATGTATTGTTTCGGTTTAGAAAGCACGGATACGGACACGGGTGTCGTATCCGATACAATACACACATGGGAATATGACAAAATACCAAAATATAGAACACGAGTATGACTAATTAAAATAATATAATATTTTTTTATATAAATAATAACATTAATAATAAAATTGAGTAATTATTAATATTTTATAATTGAACAAATGAGTTAATATTAAATTTAATTAATGGGCTAAATGTTATGGACAATGGGCTATATGAGTGCACTAAACTAGTAAGATGTCATTGATTTAACATTAAATATAAGAGTTTAGTTTGGTGGACACCACACCCCCACAACGAAACTGAGAGAGAGAGAGAGAGAGACGTGACTGATAAAAAAAAAAGGAAAGGAAAGCCGACGCATCAAGAGAGAGATCGCTAATCAGCCTGATCAGATCGCAGCGAAAAAGAGATCTCAGATCGCGATCGCAGATTGCAGCGAGAAAGTCCAGCTCGCACAGATCTAAGTCAAATGGAGAAAAAGAAGGAAATAAGAAGAATAAGAGTTCTTCAACATTTCCGACCAAGTTCAAATCTATGGCTTTCAGATCCGTGGTTGAAGAAGAGAAGTACCATATTCTTCCCGTACCCAAATTTTATTTTTTTATTTTCTGTTCAGGACACTTATGGAAGTATCGGACACGTGTCTGGTCGTGTTTCACGTGTATTCGTGTCCGACACGACACTGCCATGTCGACCGCCGTCGAAGTATCCGTGCTTCATAGGTTTCGGTCATTTAGAAAACGAAAATATTTCGACGAAACGAAGAAATTCTGAGTTCATGCCACGCCGATCTATATGGAAGGGCAATTTTGTTGTTGCATTCCGGTTGAGAATGAAGAAGAAGAGAGATCTTCTTTTGAACAAGAAATTTTTTTCATGTAGATCTTCTATTTAGCCGGAACTCATTAATTGCTCCACACGAATTTACAATGAAAACCCGTTTCGAAAACATAATAGAAACAAATAAAAAATACTCAAATTATTTAAGGATAAAAAATTTGAGAATTATTTTTAAAAAAATATTGGTTGAAATATACCAAAGCATATTAAAACACCTTGAAATATTCTTAAACAATGGTGTAGTGTAAATACGCTGAAACATTACGAAACTCTTCAAAACATTATAAAGCATCTCGAAGTATTGGAATTTCGATTCTCCCACAAATTTATTTTAGTCTCCTTAGAAACGGAAACGTTTTGGCCATTTCAATGGTTCCGAAACAAAAATTTTGATCCTTGACCCAACATGAGCATGTTAGATCCTCGCCCCCAATATCACTAATCCCCAAAATTGAACAAACATTAGAGGAACGTCTTACACCATGCCAACCATAGATTAATTTGCAAAGCCGAACGGTATTACTTATAGACTGATGCTTGCAGAATATGTACATCCTTTCCAATGACAGTCACTCAAACTGGACGTGTATGCTTTGTGGACTTGTAACCACATGCCTAGCATCTTACCTAGTTTTCAACTACCCCAATAATTTTCAAATAAATTGAGTCTTGGTGGCATATCATGCCTAGCATCCTACCATAGAAAGAAAATTGGAGAGAGAGAGAGAGATGTCTTCCAAGGTATAGCAGGGATTAGAAAGGCAGGTTGTCTTACCATTTAGGAGATCATTTGCAAGTTGTCTAAAAAGAATATGATTTAAGAAAATTGTGTCTACAAATATCAGATTTAATTGTCAATCTAAAACTAAACCAATGCATAAGGAAAATATACAGATATTTAGTAGAGTCCAAAATGTTTCAGAATGCAGTTACTGTCCAAAGCAATTAATTCAATAGGCAAGCAACATGGACACTTTAGGAAATGCAAGAGAAAATACCAGAAACACAATAACACAACTTTTTTTTCGAGCAACCAGAAAAACCAATACAGATGTACTCAACTTATATCAGCTGACGTTGAGTACATCTGTATATAATTAGTAGATACCTTCACAATGAACACATTACAAGAGGCAACCTCTTCCAGATATCTTCGGTGAACACTATCAAGGTATAGGACATCAGAATAGCCTTTGGCCTTCGCAGCAGATTGTGCCTTTAGAACCTAAATATTATTATTATCAAGAAGAAGAAATGATATATGTGAGCAAATCCAGAACATTAATCCAGGTTTCAAAGTTTGGACGTAAGAACAACCTTTTTGATTTAAAAATAGGATTGGTTCCTTCTTATCATGTTTCAGAACATGTTACCCATCAATAGTCCGGATGCAAATTTGTCTCCCCCTCCTAGGAAATTTGATCATTAATAATACAAAAAATGAAAAATTTAGCGACAAACAATGCTTTTGATTAATGATGCACTGAGAGATTGAAAAACTACCAAGGACAAGTGCAGGTAACTTTGAAGTTTAAAGCCCTATACTTTAATAAAATATTTGAAACACAAAGAAGATCATTTAAAACAGAATTGGAAAAAAATCATCAAGATGAAGTAAAGAAAAATCAAGAATACTTGTTTGTTAGTTTTAGTTCATAAGTTTGGATGAGAAAAATTAATCGGAATACTATTAATTCTCGGACATTTAAGAGAATTTAAGAATGCACAATGACACACTGGTGTCTCAACAAACAAACATGGAAGGCTCACTTACTGCAGCATAGTTTCCCCCAGTCTTTATACTGCCAGTACCACCAGGGGTTGCTCGATGCATTTCAGTCTCAACAATCAAATTTATAGGTGCCAAACCTTCCTGGCATTACAGTATACCAACATCATCAAATAGATCTCAGCAACAAGTGTGTGCCAAAAGAATCAGAGTAACGAAAAGGCCAAGAGTGTCAAGCCTGAACCCAATGCAATTATTCATAAATATGAACATCCCAAATATCAGAGATGATTACAAAAACTGGACAAAAGGCGAGCCGTCACAGCAAATGACTGCTAGTAAATTAATTCTTGAAGTAAACATAACCACACACGCGGCCATTTTTCGGATCAAGGATTGGTTCCCAGCAGTCAATATCAAGTAAAAGTATGTTCATTACAGATTCAAACAACACAATGAACCTTACCTGAACAGAGAAATATCCAATCAAGAATGTCGTGGTGGTGGTGTCATTTTTCAATTTTTTACTTTTTTTTTGTGGGGTGGGGTGGGGGAGGTTTACAAGCCTACCCTAAATTATTTGTCGAGCAGGTGGTGGAGGATTGTTTTTTCATCTGCTTCAATGCATTCTCAAGGCTGAATTTAAGGACTTTGTGACTGAATTGAGCTTCTTGAGACTGGGTTTTGCTGGTCGATGTGTGTGTTAATTTGAGCAATCTGATTCGAACAAGAATTCTGGGACTAAGCTGTAATTCAGGTTCGAACTCGAACTTCAGCACTCACGAGTAATCTGGTTTTCAATCATTTTTTTTTTTTAACAAAAGGAAAAAGCTTTATTGATTGAAACCAAAAAATTACATGAATCAAAAAATTACAATCAAGAAACAAAAGCCAAAATTGTGGCTTTAATCCTTCATGACAAACAATATGACAAAACTCTCCTTCAGCTACCCAGTCAATCAACAGCATGCTTCAACTACCACCAACAGCTTATGGGGGAAGAAAGCGCACCATTCGAAGCCTTTTTCTCACAATAGGTAAACCCAAACGATCCTGTGCCAGCAGCACACGTATAGATCTGGGCAAATCACTAGGAGACGAAAAATTGACAGACAATTTGCGTGAAACAGCACCCTTGGCCAGACAGTCAGCCACTCCATTTGCGTCTCTGAACATATGCTCCAAACCATAATCCAGATCATTCAGAATTTTAAGAATTTTTTGGACCAAAGACCACATCCTCCAAGAACAATGCATTTTAGACCGAACCATATTAACCATGGCCAAAGAATCAGATTCAATCACAATTTGATACCCCTCCAAACCATACTGCTTCACCAACAATAGACCATCCAATAAAGCTATACCCTCTGCTAAAATAATCGTACATTCTCCATAAAAAAGAGATGAAGCAAGCCAAGCAACTACCATTTCACCTACTGAATTACGCAACATAACACCACCTCTTGAGAGACCCGAAGACCCACTAGCAGCACCATCCACATTAAGCTTCAGGGCTCCAACTGGAGGCGGTAACCAACGAACCCACACAGCACCAACAGTACATAAAAACCGGACACTTACTCGTAGAACAGTCAAAATCTCTTGACCCCAGCGATCATCAGGTTTTTTAGCAGTCAGTGAAAAAGCCTGAAATCCCAACACACGAAATATTATCTGGGAAAGAGCATACGAGTTCATCGATATTCCCTCAAATCTTCTTCGACATCTCAGCCACTTTTGGAAACTAAGTAGGAACCCTTCAATTCTGGAGAAAAGAGGACCAGTCCCCAGCCAATCATCATACCAAAAGTCACAACTCTCACCATTACCAAGCAACACCTGGGAGTTTGACAAAACCAATGCAAACCAAGGGTAGAGAGTTCTAAGACATTTCGAAGATCCCCTCCCAGAATGACTCAGAAAATGCTGATTCTTTAAAAACTTCTGGGTAAAAATCTTAGCCCAAAAAGATTTACCCTCCAATATACCCCAGGCTTGTTTCATTCTAAAAGCATATTGTATGTCCTCTAACTTGCGAAGACCCAAACCTCCTTCATTTTTAGGCATAGTCATCCCTCTCCAAGACACCCACTGCCTTTTCCTCACCCCAGCCTTATTAGACCAAACAAAGGCAGACATCATGGAATTCATTTTAGCCAAAATCCCCTTAGGTAAATTTAGACATGCTATAAGATGCATCGGAACAGCATTTAGAACAGATTGAACAAGAACAACCCTCCCCATATTGGAAAGAAGCCTTACATACCAACCTTCTATTCTGCTCCTAAACTTCTGTAGCACTCCTTCAAAAACGCTCAATCTTGCTCTACCTTTAATTAAAGGACAACCCAGATATAGCAAAGGGCACTCCTTAATAGGAACGCCAACAGCATTACTCAACACTTGCTTTCTACCCAAAGGAATCTTAGAAGAGCAATACATCGAGCTCTTCTGTTTACTCACTCTTTGTCCTGAACTAAGGTCATAACTCTCCAGAAAAGCCATCAAATTAACAACTGATCTTTTATTCCCCCTCAAGAACAACGTGTCATCAGCAAACAACAGATGACTAACCAAAGGAACACCTCTCCCACAATGAAATTGTTTTCCCTTCCTGAAATAACTTCTTCAAACCCCTGCTAAGGACCTCCTCTGCCAGTATAAGCAAGCTGGGAGAGATGGGATCTCCCTGCCTCAACCCTCTAGAAGAGGGAAAAAAGCCATACCTCTGCCCATTGAAGCAGACAGAAAAATACTGATTATTCAAGCAATTAGAAATGATATTAATGAATAGACTAGAGAATCCAAAACAAGCGTCTTCTTCAAGAAATCCCATTCCAAGCGATCATGTGCCTTCATCATATCAAGTTTCAGAATAATATTCCCCCCTTCCACTTTCATGTCAAGCTTCCCAACCATAAATTGACCAAAAGCAATACAATCACCAATCTGCCTCCCTTGAACAAAGCCATGCTGCTCTTCAGAAACCAACAAGGGCAGAAGGAGACCTAACCTTCTGGACAAGAGCTTAGTGAAGATCTTGTAGAAGAAATTACAAAGACTTATTGGTCTGAAATCCGAAAAGGAGACAGGATTCTCCTTTTTTGGAATCAAAACCAAAAGAGTAGCATTTGCAGCCCTGGGAATTATCCCTCCTTTCAGAAAAAAATTGGCAGCCTCCAGTAAATCTTGATAATATCCCAAGATACCTGAAAAAACCTTCCAGATAAACCCTCTGGCCCAGGGGCATTAGTAGCAGACATTGAAAATACAATCTCCTTCAACTCATCCAAACCAACTTCCTTTAACAATTCTCAATTTTCCTCCTCACCCACCAGTCTAGGAATGACTAAAAACATACTATCCTGCATCTCATGACTTTCGGATTTATATAAGGAAGAGTAGAACTCCTCAGCCAACCTGGCAATTTCCTGCTCGTCATGCACCCATACACCTTCACTATTTTGGATTCTCTTAACTCCATTACGCACCGCTTTACCCTTAGCAATGGTATGATAAAATCTAGTATTTCTCTCCCCCTCAATTGCCCATTTCATATTAGCCTTCTGCTTCCAGTAAATCTCCTTCATCCTGAGAACCTTATCCAAATCATCCTTAACTTTTTCCAAATTCAACAAGTTCAGCTCAGAGGAATCTGACTCAGCCAAAGCCTCTGCACCCAATAAAATCCCCTCCTGCTGACTAATTCTAGCAAAAATATCACCAAATACCTCCCTGTTCCACACTTTAATATGGAATTTTAGAAACTTTAACTTGAGAAACAAATTCTCTATAGGATTATTTGAATGCTTACCAACCCAGTTTGAAGCAACCAAAGGCAAAAAAGATGCATCCTCAATCCACATATCCTAAAATTTGAAATAAGTCACCCTATTAACTGATACACCCCCAATCTTAATAAGAATAGGGAAGTGATCAGACCTCCCCCCCAGCCAGATGTATCACCTCAGTATTTGCAAACTTAAGACACCAATCAGGATTAAAAAAGACCCTATCAAGCCTCTGCCACATCCTAGTTCCACCATGATGATTGTTACACCATGTGAACCTGCTTCCATTGAATCCAGCATCCATCCAACTACCTTCAGCAATAAACTCACCAAATTCCTCCATAGCCAGTCTAGAAGGTGCAGCTCCTCCAAGCCTCTCAGTAGAAACCAAAACAATATTAAAATCACCCATCATTAGCCAGGGGGTAGACACAGGGCAATCAAATTCCAACAAATGCTGCCATAACTGCTTTCTCACAGAATGCTCACAAGAAGCATAGACAATGGAAATCCAGAAAAACATCAGAACCCATCCAAGATGCCTCCACTGTCACTGCTTGAGCATGATATCCTAATAACTTCACATTAAGCCTCCTATCCCACATGAGCCAAATATACGTCTCAGCCAATGGATTAGCATAAGAGAAATCAAAACCCATCTCTCTAGCACATGAAACTAATTTTGATGCCTCTAATTTAGGTTCTTGCACAGCCACCAAAACAATCTTATTCAACGTTACAATTTTCTTTAATCTCCTCTTCTGTACTGCTTTACCAGCACCCCTAATATTCCATGAAAGAAAATTAAACATCAGAGATAGGGTGAGACTTACCCCTCGGATTAATCCTTTCATCCGATAAAGGAGATAAAGGTAGATGTTCAGAAGAATCACCAATGGATTCATCAGTATCCGCAACTATCTCTTCACTAGTACCCCCCCTGATCAGAGAAATACCCTTTATCAGGTGGCACCTTCAACGCTATCAAACCTCTTTCATCATCCTTAGATATATCAATTCCATCCCTACATGCAAACTGTCTATCCACCCAAAATGTATCACCAAATTCTGTAGAACACTGCTTATTCCGCAAACAAATTTGAAGAGGGACAGTATCTACCATCTTAACACTAGCAATCTTCTCCACCACTTCCTCCCTATTTAAAGACTCCACAATTTCATCAGTACTGACATTATTCCCAGCTGCTAACTCCACATCAATAGGACCAGAATTCTGTACCTCATTCTCCTTATTCTCAGGAATCCCTTCCTTGGTCAATCTGTCCTCCCAGAAATCTCCGGCAAAACACTATCTAAAAATTCTAAAGGCTCCTTCTCCCCTTTAGAATTAAGAGAGAAATCATCATTAAAACTCACCTTTTTAGTAGGTGATCTCTTTTTTCCAATACAGGTACTCGAACGTCCAACTTGTACATTAAAAACTTCCTCATACTCCAGATCTAATAACTCCTTCCCTCTTTTACCAGCATCTTGACCTTCAACATTTCCCATTTCCATCATAACCTCCTTCCTTTTCAAGGCATTATCAACAACCTGCTCATCTCTAATAATATCAAACAAATTCCCCTTCTTCTTCCCTGCAATACTATCATTAACCACTCCCCCCAACGTATTGTGCTTTAAGTCAGACTTATTTACAACCCCTTTTCCTTTAACAACTTTCCATTCCTTGTGTGTATTTCCTCCCCTATCTCCTTCTGAGAATTAAGAACAGAGGACTGTTTAATTTCCCTCCCACCTTCTATGACCAGATTATCTTCTTTATTATCTTTTCCAGATTTACTTCTACGACAATCAATATCAGTATGCCCTTGTTTCAAACAACTTGTACAATACTTCACTCCCTTCTCATAGACAATCCTCTGCCACTGCCCACTCGAACCCCCAAAATCCAGCCAAAAGCGAGAAGGATTTTCCGCCAGTAGATTCACCTCAACGCAAACTCTGGCCACACCAGGTCCCGCCAATTGCAGAGTGGGGTTGTCAATCACCAAAATTTTGCCAATCGGGCTCAGTATGTCCCGAAGACTATCACAATTAAACAAGTGAATTGGTAAACCTGGTAGAGATACCCAAATTGGCACCACCAGTGGTTCAATCCCGGGCAAAAACTCTGGGAACCATTTGAAGAACCAGAATAGGAAACCCTCGATGTAGGTAGTATCCTTCAACCACGTCTTTACATAATCTTCATACAATTCAAACCTAATTAGAACATGTCTAGGGTCAAGAATCCCTACAGAGAAATTACCTTTTGGAAGCCATCTAGTCATGATAAATTCTCTGATAACCCCAATTGAAGGCTTTTTGTAGGCGTACTTCCCAATTAGGGTTTGCTGGAAACCCTTCGTAAGCTCCATCTTCTCCACAGCAGACCAATACATCCCTGGCTCGCCGTTATTAAACACTACTCTTTTTGCAGGATGAGCCATCGTAGCAGAAGGAACCGAATAATCATCTTGATCAATGTTCTTTGAAGATTCTTGACCATGAACCTCAGAATTCGAAGGAATATGGGCAATCGAAGGAATTTGTGCAATCGACGAAATTTGAGCAATCGAAGGAATTGAGATAGACAAAGGGATTAGATTCATCACAGGAGGCATCACATAGGTTTTCCCTAGACCCGATTGACTCACAGAACATCCAAGAGCATTTTCCAAACCAACACCCATTTCCGAAGGGCTTTCAGAACTCGAAAGATTCTTGAATAAAGAAGCGAAATTACGCTTGACGTCTGGTGGTTTTGGAGGAATTTGCCTCTAAGATTGATCAGAATTCATGATCAATCACAAAAGACAACACAAAGTTAAAATTCAATCAAGAAAGACAAGAAGATCGAAGACACTCAAAGGAAAATTTTGGAGAGAAGTTAGAGCGTCTCTCTCTAAAACAAAAATAACTGCCTCTCATCGTCCATATCAAATCTTAATCTGGTTTCTATCTAAGTTCAACAATTTTAGTGCATATTGTCCTCAGGTTGAAGGGTTTGAGTTGAGCTCTGGTCCAAGTTGGGCTTGGGTTAAAAACTTTATAATTTTGGTTGAGATTGGGTTGACTAATCAGAGCACCCAATTCATCCAAGTTGTACTCCAAGTATTTGCACCTAGATTAGTGGACTTATCGCCAAAAAAATCCTAAACAAATCTGAACCAAAAACCTTGCACCACCCCACAAATTCTGAACTTGGTGGAATCCTGGGCACAAAAAAGCAAAGTAGTAGCATATATTGCATTTGGTAGTTCTTAAATAACAACCTAAAGATTCCACTCAAACAATTTATGCACTAAGTCATCTGGATTTGCCCCAAATGTCAAATTTTGTACCCAAATGAGGATTTTCCAAAAAAATCTAAGTCTAGAAGTGTTACTAATCACAGTCAAAACCAAGAATCAGAATGCATCACTAATTACACCAAAACAACGCTTTTAAGAAAAACCAAAGGTCCACTTAGTATGAGAAAACAGACAACAGAAATTTAACTAAAATGAAAAGACAGATAACAAAAATAAAGGAGCATGACATGAAATGGTAACCTACGCTTTATTGAAATAGGCATGCAAAGAGGACAAACAACATACCTTGAAATAGTTACCAACAGGTGTAACATAAATCAGAAAGGTGTACTCAGGAGCAGGTGCAACCCCAAGAACATCTCCACTCCCCAAAAGCAAAGGCCTTATATATAAGGAACCTTTACCTGGAGGAGGTACCTGAAGCAAGGCATTCAACCAAAGGATTCACTAAATTAACACCCTCACCAGCTACTCACACATCTCAAACCGCAAAATTGAATTAGCATATTACCCATCTTCTATTTGCCAAAACTGTAACCTTTACAGCTTCAACAAACTGTTCAACAGTTGGCGAAGGCATGCATATATGCTCTGCCCCCATCCTCAACCGCAATGCATTTTCTTCAGGACGAAACAATAGAATGCAGCCATCCTGTTTCCGGAAGGCTTTCAAACCTTCAAATACTCCCTACACACAAATACCGAAAGAGAAAATATATGTCGTTAGAAGTCTGAGGAATTTGATGAAATATCATCTATTATGATACTACAGACTGCTATACATGGCGAAAAACCAAGAAGTTCAGCATTCTAATTCAGATGAATAATTTGAAAGAAAATCAGGGTGATAAGTTATGAAACCTATTCTGCAAAGAATATGTCCAGAATTGGCAGACTTCTGACTGAATAAAAGGAAAACTAGCTTGTAGTCCTAAGACCCAACAGTGAAAGCATTATCAACCAACACGAGCTTAAAGGCAAAACAAAATGATAAAAAGAAGAACATGCAGTAGGCGATGTCCATGCCACAAGAAAACTTTGGATTACTCGACAAAAATGATCAAACACACGAACAAGATAAAGGTGTGAGGAAATAACCTGCCCATAATTCAATATCCCAGCTGAGGGGCTCATTTCAATGTTTCCATACCGCTGTAATTGACCTTTAGAAAAGTTTTCACTTTGCAAACATTTCATTATGTACATATAATCAGTAGGCGTACAAACAAATCCAAGGTTGTCCCAATCAATGTCAGCCAATTCCCACGTTACATTGCTGTGATAAGAAGAATTTCAATTGTGAAACCACCTCATTGGCAAGCAAACAAATGAAACACAATGTCGCCTATAATTTTATTGAAAAACAAAGCCAAAGAAATAGAAGGAGAAGAAAAAAAAGAACTAGAAAAACAAAACTAGAATAACTTGAAATAGTGATATAGGGACCCCTAATAAGTTATTAATGCCTCATTTCCCAGGTGTCTGACACCCATGCCATTCAAAAAGGAACTTACAAACCTGAAAAATGATGGTTTCAGGGAAAAAAGCAAAAAAAAAAGAAAGTAATGTGCAACCAAGCTGTGAGGAAGTAAGAGAAATTTAACCCAAGCAACCAGGTACCTGCGGCAAATTGGTCCTTACAAAGAATCCTTTCAATATGGGCAGTTCTCATGAAGAATTAGATGGTCATGGCATCAGATTACTAGCGAATAACTCTTTCGAATGAAAGATAACTTGGAAAAAATCTTTTGACATCAATCCAAGAAGCCAAATATTGACAGACTTTGTCTTTTGACAAAGACGCAGATGCAAATTTTGTTATGATTCTAAGACAGCACTTCGATCTTATGTTCCACAGGTCACTTGGTTCACGGAATTAGTAAACATGGAAAGGGAATGTAAAAAGACTCATTTTCTCTTATTTAGTTGCCATGGAAAACGAGGGGATAGAGCATAACATGAGAAGGAGTAAAAGAAAAACTTTGGTTTAATATCATGTGCGAGGAAGAGAAATTTTTTTAATTAGAGTAATGCTATTTGGACCTAAAAATCTAACTTAATTTGCTGACCTAATGATATGGTTTCAGAAAAACCATTAGATCAACACCAAATTTCAATATTTGATGGGACTCACAATCAATCCAAAAATTATAGTGAATTAGGTCGCAATAGTATTGGTCTTTCAATCATAGTTGTCAAATCGTGTATCGGAAGGCGCATCGTTTTTTAAAAATAGTGTATCGTATCGTATCGTGTATTGTAAGATACGCGTAATTTTAATTTTTAAATAATTATTAATAAAATATATGTATATATCTTTATAAAAAAGTCATAGACTCATAATAACATAGTATTTCATTAATATTCCACCAACTATTCAAGTTTTCAACATAGTTCAGTAATATCAAAATACAAAAACCTCTAATTCAAACTTCTAACATCAACTGTTTGAACAATTTTAATATTAATCAGGAATTTTGAATTTAATTGAACAACATTAACATTAGACTTTATTTATTTTTTTAAACTATAACCACTGAAACGACGTTGTTTTACTAGCTAGTGATTTAAAAATAAGCGCTAGAGTAAAACGATGTCATTTTAACCCCAAAAAGTAAAATAATAAAAAAAAAACAGAATTATCACGTATCGGATGTATTGTATCGTACGTATCGTATCATGTATCATACGATACGCTGCAAAAACGATACAGAGACACGATACGTATCGTGTATCGTACGATACTAATAACTATGCTTTCAATTAATATGTCATTTCCTACTTTTTTATGATTAACAATAAGATTTAGTAAATTGTTAATTTTATTTGATTATGAGAGAGAATATGTACTTTTTCATGATTAACAATAAGATTTAGTAAATTGTTAGTTTCATTTGATTATGAGATAGAATATGTCCCCTTTCCTTTACCTACTGGTGCTTCTCCTTCTCAATTTCCTTTCTTTTAAGTCCACAAACCAAATGGAGAACTAAAGTGAAATGCTGTAATTTTTAAATATGGCACATAGGATTAGTGCTACACAAATGGATTAGACCCCCAATCCTCCTCCCAATATTCACTACACACCTGTAGCTCTTTCCCTACAAAGACTTCAGCCATCTCTTTGACTAAACAATCATATTACTGTTCAATGAACTCAGCAAGAGAAAAAAATGGGCTTACAGAGCCAGGGCTCATAAAACCTTTCTTTCATTCATCAATAGGACCCTGGTCGGTCACATTTCTCGGCTGGGATCAATAAGTGAAAGTCATAAAAAAAAAAAGAGATCTTTCACTTCGCACCTCCAATCAATAGGAAGGGCAGCTTGTCAAGCTGATGGAAAAAATTGTTTAATGACATCTTCTCGCTACATTATCCATCAAACATGTTTGAAATTCTATCGATTTATGTTGACAAAGAAAATCGGTATGGTTGGTCAATTTCAATCATTGGATAGATCCAATCTCTCATCTTAAAGACACAATTACCATGCGGAATAGTCGAAATAAAAATCTCAATGCAAATAACTTTTCTAACATAATTTTATTTTCTGTTTTTGGGAACTAATGAGTTTCTTCAACAAAAAATTTACAGTCCTAGGCAATTTTTCTATTATTTTAAGAACAGAAAAAGCACATTTTATGAAACAATAAAAAACTACAACTTGAATAATTAAAATACACACGTACCTTGCTGGTGAGGCCACTGGAACAGGGTTTAAGTTACCACCACCATTAGAACAAGAAGCGACATGAAATTGCTTTTGGAGCTGCGTGCACAAAGGCATATCAGTTGAAACTATATAAAATCATGTGCAAACATTCACATAAATGTATAGAAATATGAAGCTTTGATCTTTAAAATTCATAAAACGACTAGTTTGAAACCTTGAGGGAATGAAGATAAAAATGCGTTTTGTCAGTGAAGATAGAAGGAAGAAGCGTAGAGGGGCTACGAGATGAGCTGAAGACATGAGTAGGGCTTGCTTGAAGCCCTCCAAACACGGCACCGGTCTCCATTTCTCTCTCTCTCTCTCTCTCTCTCTCACACACACACACACAGTATTCGCCTCCAACCAGAGTAACCGACAGAATGAAGTATATTACATTCAATTTTTAGGTTAACTTTTGACGGTTGTAGTTGCTTTTATTTTTTGAATATTACACTTAGACCCCTGTGGTTGACCATTAATTGACAGAGGCAATGGAACCAAGCCAGAGACCTAAATGCCGCGGGGATATATTCTGAAGTGAGATACAGTTACTAAATTGCTCTTCTAGCCTAGTATATAATGGTTCTCGCCTTTGGACCTAGCTTCTCGAACAACCCGATCAAACAACTGATGGGATGTTTCCATGGATTGATGGGGAGACAACAAGTGGTCTTAGCATGGTGAACGTGGAGCCTCCGTGGAGTAACACGTGTCCTCGGCAAAATGCCCTCGAAATTCCTTGTGACTGACATGTGTCCTCAGCGGACATGACCCCCGAGGCGCTGAGCACTTAGCGCGTGTCCTCATCGTTTAGTTCCTCCAGAGCACCCTCTGTTTAACATATGTCATCGGCACCTACGTTCCTCGAAGCCCCAGCTGCTCGATACTTGTCATCGGCGTCAAGGTCACCCCGAGGAACTCTCCACTTGACACGTTGCCTCGGCGTTAGGTCTTCCACGTCAGCGAAGCATGGATAGTAATTTTGATGGTTATTGTGACTTGGAAGCAGAGTTGACTGTTAATCATCGATTCCCCCTTTCCAAGGAAGTTAGAATGGCAGGAAAGACAACTCAGTAGCCAATAATGAGGGTGTACGAAGTACAGAACATAGGGGACATGACCTCCTAGGGGCAATGGACGAAAGTGTCCTTGCGCATGTGCAGCCACAATGAGGGAACATTAAATGACTCCCTTAGAGAGATGGGACGTATTTATTGCTTGGCAAGATTACGAAGGCGAGCATTAAATGCCCAGAGATCCGAGTATTAAATGAGGAAGCTTCTACCACGCGAAAAGGAAGACTCACTACTCGAGGATTGATCACCACCTATTGTCTTCCAAATGAGCCAATGAGTAGCCTTCCATCTAAGGGATCTAGTAGTTTGTAATGATTGATTCCAAAGAGGTATTAATAGCTTTCACAAAGACAAGTCTAAAGTATGCAAAATCTCCCCCAAGCAATAGAATAGTGCTTTTTCAACCCTCTTTCACATATTGAATTCATCGTCGCAGGTGTCACGCCGCCTTCTTTAGCTTATGAGTGAGCAAGTCATTTGTAAACAATCTCATCACCATTCATTACGACTTCTCAACATCCATTTGCTGTAGAATTTTTGACTTTCTAGGCAAACTCGAGTTCACTAGTGGAGAGATCTATCAATTTGTTTATTGTGTCAGAATCATCGCGCACAATTTGGCGCCGTCTGTGAAAAATGACCAAGTTTTTCTGGTGACAGTGACCATCATGAACACTCGTTTGAAAGGAAAAGGTCATCAGTAAAGAAACATGGATGTACCAGCTCCTTCCATGCCGAGAATAGAGGATCACATAGAAAGTGTCAACAAGGAATGTTCAATCCATTCCAGAGAAAGAACCCGCCAAATTGAACTGAGTCTTGGGGGGGAAAGGAAGAGGCCTTTGGCCCGCCAAGTCATTGATCTCATTAAGGAACCGCTAGGGAACCATCTAAAGCAGATCAAGGAGAACAATGTAAACATTCTCAACAGACTTGATGAGTTCGCTCTCTCTAGTGGGGTTTCTCGAAGTGTACGACCATCTAAAGAGCCCTCCGTCAAAGAGGTGGGGGCCAACGACTTGAGGAACCGCCTCAGCGGTGAAACAGGAGGCTCCAAGACTCTAAAGCACCTAAGGGCCAATGGATAGGACCCAGAGGTCCTAGTTAAAAGGGCTAGGCCTTTGGCTTGGAATAACCTCCGTCAGAGACTGTCCGGGCGAGGGGGTGGAGAGGATTCTAATAAGGGGTCGACCCTCTCCATGAACGATGGAGGAGTCGGGTGACAAGCAGTGCAACGTGGTCTCAATGAGAAAAGATACCATAAAGATGAGGAAGACTTGCGGTCTAAATTAAACTCAAAGGGGATAGATAGGTCTGTTCGTGACTACGGTGATGATACAGGCAACGAAGCCATTTAATCACCATTCACTAAAAGCATTATGAAGATGGAGATACCAAAGAAGTTTGTGGTGCTGCGGTTCAAGGTTTATGATGTACTTTTCGACCCTGAGGCTCATCTCTGACAGTATAAGCAATTGATATCCTTGTACCACTCAGATCATAAGTTACTGTATTGAGTGTTCTCGATGAGCCTGGGTGATACAGCCATAAAGTGGTTTGAGACCTTTTCGCCAAATAGCATAGGGTCGTGGAGGGAGCTGACTAGACAATTCTTCACGCGATTTATCATAGAGAGAAATGCCCCAAGGATGTGGGATCCCTGTTAACTCTCCGATGGAAAAAAGGAGAAACATTTTGCCAACAACGACCTCTTTTCGACTTGGCCTGTCTCTGGACAAAGACCTTTACAGGTTCTTGACGAAGCAGACGCCGGTGGACATGGGAGAGTTGATGGCCTGCATTAACAAGTACTCAAGGATAGAAGATGAGTTGACATGGATTAAAGGAAAAACTTGGCCCCTAAGAAAAGGATAAGGAAAAAAAGGGGGTTCGTCCTAGGAAAGGATCGATTCCAGCATTGGAGAATTCTTTTAAAGGGATCCACACCATGTCCAAAGAACTTATCTACAAGTTATTACACAAGATCAAGAAAAAACCATTATTTAAGTGGCCGCCTAAGATGCAGGGTGATCTATCCACCAAGAATCAAAATTCCAGGTGTTTATACCACAAGGATGTAGGGCACCTTACCGAGGACTGTCGAGTGTACAAGTCCTTCCTGGAGAAGTTGGTCCAAGAGGGACACCTCTAGGAGTACATTTGAGAAAGAGACCCCTAAGGAGACAAATGCTACCAATGACTGTGCCATTTTCCATGACATTGTCATCGATATCAGCCACGTCTGCCCTCTGGAATGGCCGATAACCAATACCCTTAGGTCTGACCTAAAGAGAGTAGCCTTCGGCAGGAAGGTGAAGGAGAATGATGGAGGCCAGACAAGTAAGAGGCCCCGAACAGATCAAGGTGTTATCACCTTCTCGAACGCTGACCTAGCAGGCGTGGCCCTCTCACATGAAAATGCCTTGATCATAACTCTGCAGATTGCAAACTTTGATGTCAAAAGGGTCCTAGTCGACTTAGGGAGCTCTTTGGAGGTAATGTACCTTGATGTGTCAAAGTCAATGGGCCTTGGGTCTAAGGATCTTACCGTCGTCAAGACACCCCCTCGTTGGGTTCAATGGATCATTCGCTCTACCACTAGAGAACATCACTCTGTCAATCACCACAGGGCCTATCATGATCAACACGAGAGTTCATAGTGATCGATTTTGACTCACCGTACAACATAATCATGAGACATACTTGGTTGCATTCACTTGGAGTAGTGCTCTCCACTTACCATCAAAAATTAAAGTTCCCCACTCCAAAGGGGATAATGGAGATCTGTGGAGATCAAGTCTTTTCAAAAATTTATTTTTATGTTGCGATGAAAGTCAAGGTTACGTCCAAGGAAAATGAGTGTGCCTAAAGGAAATGTTGAACAAATAGCAACTACAGTCAGGGCGATTGGACGTCAATAAGTTACGGATTGACCTAGCCAACCGCTCTATGGAAGACCTCTGGAAAGTACTCTTAAGGGAAGGGGATGAGGAGAGATACTTCTTAATCGACTCAAACATGTCCATGGTCGAGCAGAAGGAGATGACAAATTTCTTGAGGAAGAACGTGGACTTGTTAACATGGGATGTCGTAGAGATGAAAGGCATAAGTCTTGATGTCATAACTCACCGACTCCATGTTGATCCTTATCATCAGATCCCCCTCCATTCGCCTGACTAGGAGAAGATACTCCAAGGGGGGTATGCTATTACAAGGTCATGTTATTCGAACTAAAGAATACAAGTGCTACATACTAAAGGCTTATAAACCGAATGTTCAAATGAAAAATGGGGAATACCATGGAAGTGTACATTGACTATATTTTAGTTAAGAACAGGAGCCGGAAGGATCACATCGTGGACTTGGAGGATGCCTTCACCACCCTCCATGAATACGGGCTATAGTTAAATGCAGCTAAATGTTCTTTTGAGGTCGACTCTAGAAAGTTCCTGGGGTATTTTGTAAGTTGGCATGACGTTGAGGCCAACTTGAAATAGATATAGGTTATTGTGAATGTGCGTAGCCCTTGGACTATCTTACAGGGATGTTAGTCGCCTTAAATCGTTTTATATCCCAATCGTCGGATGAGTTCAAGCCTTTATTCGGTGCCATCAAGAGGTTTGAAAGGAAACTTGGAATGAGGAATGCAAAAAGACACTCAGAGGGATCAAGGAATATCTAAGGGTCCTCTCGACCCCTGTCGGTCCTTGAAAGGGGGGAGATGTTATTTATTTACTTGGCCATTTTTGAGTTCGCCGTTAGCGGCGTACTAGTCCACAAGCATGAACATGAACAAAAGTCGGTGTACTAAGTGAGAAAAACCCTCCTAGACCTGGAGATGAGATACTTGCCTTTGGAAAAAATTGCATTAGCACTAGTCACAGTCGCACGAAAGTTGAGGCATTATTTTCAAGCATACCCCATCACTGTCTTGACCGATCGACCTTTGAAAACGATCCTGAGGAAAATGGATCTCTCCAAGAAGGTAGCGAAATGGGTCATGAAGTTGGGGGAACACGACATTCATTATAAACCCCAGACGACGATAAAGGGTTAAGTGCCACTCCCCTCCCGAGGAAGAACCCTCTACGGATGGTCAGGTGCACTCTTGAAGAATGTGCGTGGATGGTTCCTTTAACAACAAGGGGTATTATTGGTCTCCCTAGATGGATTGGTCACGGAGTAGGCTGTGCGGTTGGGTTTCAAGACATCCAACAACGAGGCTGAGTATGAAGCTTTCATCTCTGAACTA